GAAAGAAGAGAAGCGCGAGACAACAATCACAGAATCATGCAGCACAAGTATATCTATGGTTGTAGAACAAGTATTTATATGCTCATACTCATTACACATATATTTATATGGTTTGACATATAGGCCTGCATCCATGAGTGGTAATTATTAGGGGTGCTTCATTTGCATGAATGGAGGTACAATGATACAATAGGAACCCCCAAATATAATTCTTCCAACACACATCGTAGCACATACCAACCAGCACTTAGACATTTTAAATTCATTTTCATGAAACAAGTGTTTCTACAGTTATCTATCATGTACTTATACATTATGGATTAGGCTGGTAAATACATGCTTCTATACAATCTAGTATTGAAGCTGGTAATACAATCTAGCATAGGATTCTGTGAACCATGTATATGTAAACCGGTGTTACAATCTAGTATAAAAGTCATTCACTTTAATACTATGGATAACCATCACTGTTTCCTCAGAAATCCTAGAAACTTCAATTTGTAAACTAAAACCACCATGCTGCTCACAGTCCAACCCCAGGTTGCTTCCAACACTTGATTCATGTGATGTTTTGCATTTGGATCAAGCTTCTATCATCAACCTCCTTTTGTTTTTCAAGAACCTTTTTTCTTCCATGGCTACAGACTAAGAAATTAGGATAACTTTGGTTGGCTGGCAAGTGGCATTCAATCACTCCATTTTGAAGCTAATTATGCATGTCTTTGTTTCTAGAGATTCCCTTCTTCAGAATACTTCTGTGTGTTAATTATACCACAATACTAAAATAAAAAACAACACGTACAATTATTGATAACATTGCCTGACTAGCGTAGACTACTTAGTGAATAGATAGGACAAGGTGTTGTAAAATATGATATATAGATCTATGGTCAACTCAACTTGACCTTGCTTAAACAAATCAAGTGTGATAAACTAACAACAGTCAATCCACTAATGGTAAGTATTCAAATGTTTACATGATACAACTAACATGCACCAAGAAAACTCCAAGTCAGATGCACCTGAAACCAACCAATTTATCAGTCGGATTAATCATATAAATCCATACATGAGTCAATCCTATAATAACCATGGCTGGAGCCCCCGAGCTTTTTGTTTGTTTCTGTGTCAACTGTCAAGATTTTGCATCACCTTTGACATGAGGAAACTCTAAATTAGGTAGTAATCCCAGACCGAGAGTGATGACACTGACTTTCAGTATGAAAAGGTTAAGGTTGATATATTTACCATTATTAGGAGTGTATGATCTCGAGGACCATATGCCCAAAACAAAACAACAAAAGCTTATACAGTAACTACATACTTCTCAACAAACCATGAAACAATCACAACAATATTTAAATTACCAACCATTTTCAATTACAAGACTTCAATAATATGTTAAACTCTTTTGCCCACACTGATACCAAGCAGGTAGGCGATATGTATTGGTTCAGGCATGAACTGGCACGTGGACTGCCCCCATTTCGGGTGGCCCGCTTTGACCCGTTAAAAAAAAATTAAAACTTATAAGTATCGCGAGCCCTCCGCAAGTTGTTTCACCTCCTCATGTTGTCATTACCCGCCACCCATCGCCGACGGGTACGCTTCCTCCTCTTCCTTCCTTCTTACTCACCGCCTTCTCTCTTTCTTCCTTCTCTTCCACCACCACCTCTTCTTCCATCCTCTTCCTCCTTATTCCCTCCACTACCTTCTCTTCTTCCTCCCTCTTCTTTCCTCCTCCTTCCTCCTCTTCCTCCACTACCCCTTTCTCTTCTCCTTCTTCTTCCTCTTTAAGTCACTAGTACATATCGGTGTACCATGTGTCAATGTGCTAATACCAACCGGTACATATAGGTCTGTCCAAGTCACTGTTAAGGGTCCGGAACCTGAAATTGCAATCCTTGTTCATATGTCGATATCTAGTGTCACATACCAATGTCAATCTCATGCTTGTCTTTTAAATTCCATAAAATCCAAATATGAAAAACAATATATATTCTCACCAACTTTTTATTAAAACATAGCTTTTCTTTTTATTTTTTTGAGTCTTCCTTTGCATTCACACCTCCTGGAAACCTTGGTCAAGCCACCAACCTTAGATGTTTCACCTTTTAAGATCAAAAACATTTCATTCTTATATTCTTAAGTACAACCAATTAGGCACAACAATGGGGTCGTGAGAGGTCAGTTCACGAATCATATATGCGCATCCAATCTTGATTCTTGTGCAGTGAAATGTCCAATTTGAGTTATCAGTAGCACTATACTGCTTTGGCATCTCTCTCCTAGACACATTGGTAGGTCAGAAACCTCTGAGGACAACCAAGCATGAGCAGGAAGTAATTCCAGCAAATGCAGTATGGTTCAGATTTTGGTTAAACATGAGACACGAGTACAATTCATCATTACAAACTCAAAGAGGGTGCATCCTTTGTCATAATTGATCTCTATTGTGATATCTTATTAATCATGGAAAAGGGTTTTGATACTGGAAATGAAGCTCATTTTCCTGACTCAGGTAAGCTTTGACTCAAGTCACCTTCATATTTTTTTAACATTGATCCTCCCCAGACCCCGCATTGGCAAGAGCCCCATATATTGGATACACCCTTTTTTACCTTCATATTCTTTTGATGATTGTATCAGCTATTTGTTATGAAGCTAACGTGACTACTGAACCACCCTCATAATAGCCCACACCTAGTCGAAATGTAAAATTAAGGGCATAGTGTTGCTGAAAATGTCCCAAACACAAAAATGCAACATCCTAAATTAATGGCATAGCATTGCTGAAAGTGTTCCTAAGATAAAAAAACACAAAAAACACAATATCCTAAGCAACGAATCATTGTATATCTAGATTGTTTACAAAATTGAATTAAGCAACAACCAGCATGTCTGGTGCTACAATTCAATGGGATTATACCTCTCAGTGTATTATGTTAATCATTGTGTGACTCCATATTTTCTTTCTTCTGTCTTTCTCATTCTACAACTAATCAACACCTACTTTCAACATATTATGCTGTACTTCCTTGTCACACGATAGCTGTCTCCATTATGAAAGGCCTTTTTCGTTTATATTCTACTCTCATTTACATTTACTTTACATACGTACACATATATAGGATTCAAAAAACCTCTAAGGTGCATTCTGTTCCCCAATACATACGTGTAAGCAGTTCTACCAGTTAACAGTAAAGGTTGATAATAAAGCACACGCAAAAGAATTGCTCTTAACAACAGCAGCAAGAACAAGTTCTAAACTTTTAGCTACAGAAGGGGGACAAAGTTCTGTGACTTCAATCGATCATAATGGGATAGTTCTTAACCTCAGTGCAGACATCGACAACTTCCCCGACAGAATCTCCAAAGTGCTCTTTCTTCTTCGTCAGCCTCTCGAGCATATGCGTCCTGAACCTGTCTGTCTCCTGAACCAAAAGCAAATTTACCAGCAAGATCAACAAAACCAAAAGAACTAACACACGAAGGGGGTGGAGAACATACGGCTGCAGCGAAGTCAGGAATCGGGTCGGGGAACTTGTACTCCGCGGCCCTGCAAGTGAATCGGTTCCCGCGATGAGGGGCTCGCTTCAAAGGGATGGAGCGGTGGAATCTTGGAGATGATAGGCGAGAAGGGGAAAGAGGTAGTGAGGGGCATGGGACGGGGCGGTGGAAGAGGGAAGGGAAGGGAGGAGGAGGGGCGTTTGATTTAGGGGGAGGAATGAGAAGAGGAGAAGATACCAGCGCAATCACAGCAGAAGCAGCAGCAGCCATGGAGGAATGACCAGTCCGGTGTTGGACACCGAAGCCGACAAGATTTCCCAATAAGATACTGGGAAATCTTGCATCTTGTCCAAAAAGTCCACCAACATTCTAAATTTCACTTCAGCTTACAGAATGAAGGACAAAAGGGGGGCTTTAATGAAAATAAATGAAAAGAAACGGAAATTTCCTTTTACGCCCTTCTTCTATATGTTATTTACATATAAACCCCTCGATATTTGCACAATCTTCATTCGAGTCCCAAAATCCACTTACTACTTCTTTATTTCTTCTCACGAAATTATAAATGGTATATCGTTCATTAGATATTTGTTAAACTTAAATGTTACGTCCTGCATTAAATTAATAAGAAAAGAATATACATGATAGAATTTTATATTATCTCACTTTATAATCAGATTTTTTTTTCCATCAAGCGCAAATTTTACGGACATCAATCGTGTCATTAAGTATTTTAATTTCGAGGAGAACGTGAATTGATAGAATATTAAATTATAAACTTATAAAAAAATTAACATAAAATTATATATATTTTTTTAAAAATTAATGATTTTCACGTATCCTCGTAAAACTTCACATGTAAACACCATTATAATTCTATTCCCTCCCCCTCTTCGTTCTCCCTCGGGACCCACCTTCGCCCTACACTACCAATCCTCCTCCCTCGGGACTCGCCTTCGTCGTACACCATCACCTTGCATCACCTTCTCTCCTCTCATACATATCGTGCCGCTTTCATCTCCACCATACATGCTAATCAACAAAGGTGCAACAATCCCATTAGGCCTAATGATGACAATGAGCCACCCCCTACCTTGCCACCCACATAACCTCATCTTACACAACGGCGACAAAACATTGTCATCATCATGCCTCTTCCTTCCTCACACGAGAGCGATATGAGCAAGCACATCCAATGGGTCAACCACAACATAGGATAAAGGCGACGATGCAAGGGCGACAATGATGAGATAAAATAATCTATTCGCATGGGCAAGAGAAATTTTTTTAAAATTGAAGTGCTTTGCAAAAATTCCTATAATATAAGAACTTTTTTCAAAATTTTACCCTTCATATTTTTGATAAAAATACTAAAAATTATTTAAAGCACTTTAATTTTTAATATATTTAAAACTCACCTACAACCGTCGTTAATAGCCATGAACCTGGATTTGTTTGATGAACACTTGACAGGAATAGCATGCATGAGATATTTAAATATCTGATGGGATATATATTAATATATCCATAATATTAGAAGAGCAAATATGTTAAGTTCACCACACCTTCAAATGAAACAATCAACGAAAAACATGGATAACGGCTGTGACAAAACCGGATGGCATCTTCGTTTCTTTCTAACTTTTACAAATGCACATATGAAACAAAGTCAAAAAGGAAAAGATACCCAAGAAAGACAGTAGACATGTACACAAAAGGGTTCAAGCAAGTGAAGTCACATATTCCTCTCATGAGGTTCCGGCCAAGGGAACCCAAGTACATCAAACACCTCCTTCTCCGTGTAACAGCTTACTCTGGTGCTGGATTTGGTCCCCTGCAAAGCAAGAAAGGAATTTGGGTCATGCATGCCAAATTGTGCAGCTTTTATTGCTGTTGAGACTTCCTCATGGTTAGTATATTGTTATATAGACATAGGTCTCATGTTCGAATCCGTGTAGCAGTTTATATAACGAAAAAATAATAATTAATCTAGAAACATATATGGTTTTGCTTCTCATGAGAAAGCAGCTACGTTTACTTACTCTCTTTCCAGGAGAACCCTGGGTGGCCAAGTACAGTCCCGTGTCGTCGAGCCTGTATCCCTTGGATTCTGCTAACAACCTCAACCTGCAGCATGTGTTGTTCAACAACAATATATGTTTTAGATGAAAAAAGCAAATCCTACAAGCAGGAAAAAGAACTCTTCCCAACCTATGAATATCCGCCAAAGAAGAAATTGAATCCCGATAGACAAATAGAAAGAAACTTAACTTCTTTTTGGTGACTTGGTTATGTTACCATTTTTCACCATTTGAACTTGCAAAGCAAAAGCAATCATTTCAGAAAAAAGGAAAAAATCGTGCCTCGTGCCATTTGTTTTGAGATCTCTAAAATCCCAAGGCAGGACAGATATGAAATCCAAATACATCACATCATGTTCAATATACAAAATGAACATGCACTGTAAAGGGCATCACCCTTTTGTTTGCAGGAAGATGCACTGCCTCAATTATGTATTCAAAAGAAATAAATGGAAATACTTACGAATACATGTTAAACAAAGGGGCAAAAAGAACTTGGGGATAGCATTGATCAAGCACATCATCTTATCTATATATAAAGTATCGGTCAGAGCTTCAACTACTACATAATCTTATCTATATATAAAGTATATCAAGCACTCCAGACCCATTGTAATTTGTGGGATAGCATTGATCTGATTTCGTTATATGATATCCATAATTCAAATGAACATTGTTTTTTATTATTACAGTTTGATATAGGGACATGTAGCAAGAGCTTTGGGTGTTGGAGAAGTAAGAACATACACAAGACATCTCACAAAACCAAAGATGAGAGCAAATGCTTTAAGTTCATCACCTAAGAGGAGCTTGAGAGATACAAATGAGTTGAAAAGGAAGATGATGACAAAATTATGAATGTTAAGGATGATGAAGTGGAATTTGATGATGATTGATGTTAATTTTATTTTTGTTTTATTTTCTCATTTTTGTTATTAGATTTGGACAACATAGTACTTTGGAATTTTAAACAAATCTAATTTGATTGTTTAACGGTGATATTTGGAATATAAAATGATATGAAACTCGTATTGTCTCCTTTTTATTTTAGTGATCATATTTCTCCTTAATTATATATTTAAAAAAAAAAATTAATATTCACGAGTGACTACATGCTTTACATTGAGATAAGACAACATTCAGGTACACGTAAACAGGACATCTAGACTTTTGATAAATTAAAATTTTTTTATTGTTCTATAGCAGTGCATGAGCAATGTACACCAAAGGTCAAAAACACAATATTTCTAGTTTCAAGAATTCAAAAGTCTAGTTTTGAGAATTATCAATTCATGTTCTATGGAAGATCAATAAACTATACTATTCCAGTTCATAAAAAGATTAGATACTTACCGCCTATTTAGTACATCATTTCCAGTCCATGCTATTAGTCCAAAAGCATATCGATCCTTTGGATACACCTGCAAACACAAAGTATACTCAAACTTAGTTAGCTCATGAATACAAATAGGCTTTATAAGACACAATACAAGTGTCTATCTTTCGGATCTATAGGAAACTTGCAAACTTGCTTTGGGGATTGACAAATTGAGAGTTCACAATCATGTGATACTTTGATAGAAGTCCGTCCAAATAGTCATTTTGAAATGAAAAATTGGAGCCATCTAGAATCTGAGTACTTTGTTTGGGGGATTAATAATTTGGTGGCCAACAGAAAGCGAAGTAGACTTTACCTACCTAGGATGAAACATTCTCCTTGATGGAGATTGTATACATGCTATCTTCTATTTTTCGTCTCTTCTTTTTTGAGGCAAATCTTCTTGTTAGTCATTTACTGTCCTATTCCATCACCAAAGCTTCCTGTTCTCAACTCTTAAGGATTGCAGTCCCTCGTATCCAGAGACTACTGCAGTTTAATATCAGGTACCTGATCTCCCTCCCTCTCAATGATCGGTACTGGTAACTCAAGACTGAAAACCTTTGTTAGGGTATTATGGCTTGTTATTGTAAACAATTCATACCTCATGATCAGCAAAAGCATCGACAACAACAAACTGATAAGATAATTGAACACATTGAGAAACCAGCAGAACTAACTTTGAGTTTCTTCAATGCCAAATATCTAGAATGTGAAGATTTAATATTAGATGGTGATTCAAGCATGAAGAACCAATTCTGAACATCTCCATAAAATGAAGATCCACCATGGAAAATGGAAGTCACGAGTTACACACTGTTGGTAACAGTAGTTCACCGTGTTGCTATGATGATTTTATCACACTTAGCTAATAAGATGATGGATTGGAAGTAACTTTTCACTGCTCTCAACAATATTGAATTTGTTCATCTTTGCCAATATTTCTTGTTGAAGTTACTCCCTGGTTCCCTGTATTGTGTATCTTTGCTGATAATTTAAATTTCAATTGTCCACATTCTTCTTTACACTTTTTTCTGGTCTCCATTAAGGATCTTAAAATCTCATGGTATCTATCAGCATAAGTAGATATACTCCAACTAGCACAGCCTTTACAACAAGTTCTGTTTTAGTCTTAATTTACCTAACATACATAGGATTATTAGGCCTCTAATACAAACCAATAACAACAACAACATAGCCATAAAGTTCCAACTGTTTAGGGCACGGTTCGCCTTACTAGTTCATACCGATATACTGACCGACTGTCAGTACAATACGTACTGAGTCGTACTGACATACCAACATATAGTATGATGGGGCAAACAGACATACCGGTATATATTGCCTATACCAGTCCCTTGTCGAACTGATACATAACACCTGTACTAAGCAGCACGCCACGGTATGATGAACCTTGATTTAGGATCAACTAGATGAATCTTTTGCCACTTTGAATTATATAAAAAATCATATTCTTTGTTAAAATAAAAATATTTAAATATTTATCTACAGTGATCGATCATGTAATTCCTCAAAACGGCTTGGATAATAATGTCGACGTCATAATACGTGGAAAGAATGACAAATATAGCTCATCTTTCTTCATTAGAAACTTTTGCAACTTTACCTTCAAATCAATCCGATGTCGCAATTCTCTACCAGGATATGTGCAAAGACCAAAATACGTGTCTACCCCTGAATCAGTACCCTGCATATTAGTTCGAGTTAAATGATGAATAAACAGATCCTGCAATACTTTGAAAACAACAAAAGGTAGATTAAGAGAGTGTCAATGCAGCATTACATGGCTTAGAAATCAGAGCTGACCTTAAATAATGTAGTTATTAACATTATAACAGATAATATGTCACAATGAATCATACTTATTAAGTCACATTCCAATGTGACCCAAACTAAACAATCATTGTATCAACTATCAAACATGTTATCCTTTAATATACCATCCATTCAGAGCTAACTGAAACCACAAATCAAGTGGAGTACAAGCCATTCCATGTTATGTTCAAGGAGAAACATCTTCATAATTGCATCAAAATAAGTGTACATATATCATTAAAAAATACAGTTCCCAGCAACTTTTAATCCACAGATTGTGCCATAACATAAGATATTTAGCACAGTTAAATAAGCGGCACTAGGCTGATTTCTTTTATATTTGTTATAGACAACTTACAATAGTAGCATTGCATATGTTGTCTTACTTGGAACAAAATGAAGATAATAGCCCGGAAGAAATGATTGGTTATTCAAAGCAGTAAATGGATAACAAATATGAAGATAATAGCCAAAATTGACCAGGTGTCTAAATCAGCTAATGGATCTTCAAGGGGGTTGACCACTGCAGGATTCAAGCTTATTTTTGCATCAAGCAAGCCGGATAGTTAGCTTTTTTTTTAGCTATGTATTATACTCAAAGCATGATGACTTTTGCTGATTCTCAGTTCTTTATGGATCACAACGCAAGGATGAAGAAACTAGAAAGTAATGTTGAAAGAATTGAAGAAATTATAAACAAAAAAATGGATGATAAGTGGAATGACCAGCCATAGGCAATCAGTCGTAATTATAAACAATAAGATTCTCAACAGAAAATATCCCCAGAAATATAATCTTAGAGCAAGCCAAGACATCAAAAATTTTGTTTAAAAAAGATCTCCTTTGCCTACCTTTATCTGGTTGTGAATATAGTTGAAGTAACGTGAGACAATTCCCCTCATGTGAACATGATAGATTCTTGACGTCATTGGATTGAGCATTCAATAACCCATCATCAGTTCTACTGGCCTTACCAAATTGTTCATTTGATCACATTCTGGTAGCTCTAGAAACTACTGCCAGAAAACCCACCTGAGGTCCCCAGTACAAGATCTTTTAAAGTTGCTTAGTTTCAGCTAATTTATCCCAGTATCAAACATATAGTGGGGGATAAAGAGGGTGCATCTGCAAAAGCTAAATTCTAAGCATAGTCATTTTGAAGTGTCTGTATGTGATGGTCATTCATCACAAAAACCTCACCTTATTAAATTGAAAATAAACCTTTTACCAAGGAAAGATAATGTTGTACTTTGCAAGTGAATAAAAGATACGGCAACATAAATGATGAAGCACCAGATTCGTGTTCAAAACAGATGTGTCAACAGCACTTAGAGCATTAAACCTATGAAAAAAATGTTCTATATATATGACCAGTAGAAGCAAGAAATCAAGGTAAAGGTTTGTATTATTTTAACTCTCAAAGATATTATATTTAATCAAAGTTTTATTGCTATACTCTTTGTGCTTGCACCCAAGCAGAAATTACAGACCTTAAACTTAAAGTAACCACTATGCATCTTTACTATCTATCATATAAATTACAGACCCAAGCAGATAGTTTAGAACACTGTCAAATAAACGAAAAGATGGGATAAATGGAGTAGAAAATAAGGCAAATAAGCTAAACACTTACCTCAGTGCTATGAGTGCTAAATACCAAGTCTTCTCTTAAAAAGTTAATGTCCTTCAAATATTGAACATACCCGGGTAAGAATCCTTTATGACTGAAAAAAAAAAGAAAATTGTGGCCATGTTAGACCGTCTCACTTAAAGTTCAGCTAAAAAAGAATGAAAAGATTTTCATTTTTTGAATAAAAAGACCATTGTTAATGTATAATACATGACTTAGTTTGATTAGTGATGTGGCTATCAATAAAGCTCAATGACAGAAAAAAGAATCTAAATAGCCAACACCAAATAGTATGGAGTTATGGCCCGTAGATGTCATAGATATTATGTTGTTGTCATATCCTTGTTGTAATTGTTTTTGTGATTCTTGTAGTTGTTGTAACACCCCCGATTAGTCCCACATCGAAAATTGGCAAAACTAATATTGGCTTATACGGATCTGATGAGTGTATTACTAATATTATCAACTTCAGCTTAAGTATTTTAGCCAGTGGTTTAGACCAAACGAAATTGATAGGCTAGTTATCCTATCATGCCTGGGTCGTGACATTTGGTATCAGAGCTGACCTAGTATTTGGGCATGGTCGAGTAGGAAAGGGCTACCCATAGATAGAGTCAGAGGACTTGGAGCCACTACTAAGCTACGCCTCACATGTATTATACTAGGGTTTGATCTGAGTTATGCTGAGCCTTAATGAGGACGTCAAGCCCTTGAGTGGGAGAGATTGTAACACCCCCGATTAGTTCGATATCGAAAGTGAGCAAGACTAAGATTGGCTTATAAGGGTCTGATGATTGTACTACTATCAACTTCAGCTAAAGTATTTTGGCTAATGGTTTGAGCCAAACAAAGTTGATAGGCCAATTATCCTATCAGGCCTGGATTGTGATAGTTGTACTTTCGGTGCAACGACAAGAAATGATTCTTTCAATTCCTTACAAACTGAAATGTCAACAATATGTCATATAAGTATAGTAAACACACCTAAAAATAGAGTGCAAATGCAATGGAACAAAGGACTAAAATTTCAAAGTTGGTATATTTATATAAAATATTACAACTTGTTTCAAACGGATGACAAACAAAACATTCAATACTGGATGGTGCATGCTACTTGCCATCTTCATGACTAACAGATTTTAAATTGGCAATTTTAGCTACCAGGCAGGAAAATGTATGACTAGAAACATGTCATGTACTGGATATATACTAGAGAAATGAAATACATGACATAAAAAAAATTAATAGCAATATCTTTGCGTAAAAAATCAACAATAAATACTCCACTGGGTAAAAGTCATGTCACTACTTGTGCACTACATCCAGTAAATGACCATAATGGTGCTGCAGGTGCAAAAATCAACAGAACACCCTACATGGACAAAATATTATGCAAGACAATTGCATTGTATCACATAATGAATCAGAATGATGGCACCAACTATATTTACAGGACATTTTAATCAAAATGGCAAAATTTTTAAAAAATAAAAAATGTAAAATGGAATCTGAAAAGATAATCCAACAGATAAATTTATCACCATTTTGAGAGGAGTATGAGATTAAGTTTATCAATACACCTAAACCTACAAGACAGAGAACAAACATCCATGGGACATGAAACTTGAGCCTCTGAAAAAATATAATGGTAAATCTAGGATTCAGTAATGAACCAGCTCATGGTCCTACACATGCCTCGTATTCGATCTGAATGAAAATTTCCAGGCTGAACATGTCCAAAATATAAATATGCACGATAAATATGTCAAGATACATGTGTTACCTTTCCCCATCAGGATGAGTAATTACAATGTCCAGGTCCCCACAAGAAGCTTTTCCACGTCTATATGATCCTCCACATACAACGATTACCTTGAAGACCAAAATGCTTCACTGAAATGATGCATGAACAGAATCTAGAACTTTAAATTGGAGGATTACATCAAGGTAAGGAGAATTCAACTGAAGTAGATAATCACAGTTTATTTCCGATGAAGAAATAGCTGTCATTTAATGAAAGAAAATATTTTATTTATTTATTTATTTATTTTGCAACAAAAATTCATAACTTGTTACAAAATTCTTATGAATCATATACTTTTACCAAATACCAACTTGCGTATGCAATTACAAGTCCCTTTTAATACTAAGAAAGAATTGTATAGAAGTGTCTGATAGGCCTTCCAAAAAAACCAGATTGACATATTCAAGCCATGAATCTAAACACGAAGCATGTTTCTCAATGCAGGTCTGCCAAAAAGTGTTTTGGAAACTTCACTGGCCTACTATCCCAAGCTAAAAAGCTGAAAGTTTTCTAGCCTTCTTTTCTACCTTAGGGGGGTGTTCTAAGTTCATAGGAACAAAATCATATTCTGTTTTTCAGGAAGGATATGCTGCCCCAATTCTAAACCCCTTATGCTCTCTTTTTTGTTTCATCTATTTAGTCTCCTTGAGATCAATCTGGTCCTAATAATAAGCAACAAGTATCCCCTTTCCTTCATTATTTGTCTCACTTGCACTTATCAGGATATATTTAAGCGAGTTTATATAAGTAATTTACAGCTACCTTAAAGGTTTTTCTTCATCCAGATTCAGTATGCCAAGAATCTTTAAAAATACATGCAAATGGCCAAAAACAATTAAGAAATTTATATGTATCAGAAGCGCCAGTATGGACAATTGAAAACAAATGCTTCAACAATATGGAAAAACAACAGTTTTCTGAAAAACATATATACTTTTTCACGTATATAATATATATACACAAATCAGTACAAATTAGATATTTTCAAGTATACTCACCCCAGGCAAAACCTCCTGACCAGCATTTTGTAAAAGCATCTCCATATCTTTAACCTCAATTTTAAGAAAAAAAAAGTTAAGTCAAAGATTATAGAAATGAAAAGAAACAAAATAGAAGGCCATATTTTGCACCTCATGTCGTGGAATTCTTGTCTTTATATCATCGAAGTACTTCAGACCTATCTTCTGAGCAGCTGTCAATGAGTCATCATGTTTTAAATCATCAAGGTTACGGTGACCTTTTTCATATAATTTAAGAGCAGTGGCAGGACCAACACCCCAAATTTCACCAAAAAGGTTTACTGTCCGAACCTTCAAGACAACAAGGATTGAGATCACAAAATATAAAGGCAAAAAGTAGCAAAATTCAAAGGAGAATAGAATATTAAAAAAATAAAATATGTTATCATACGATAAAAGGCATAGGATGTAAAAGAAATTACAAATTAGTTATCATCATCATGAAAAACATTTATGAAAAGGGAGACGAGCATAAACAGACATACATTTTGTAAGATTCTTTCTTCCAAAAGACAATGAATTTCCAATTGAGTCAACTTCAGCCTTTTTTTTAGGTCTCTTCAGCAAATCTAAACAAATCAAACTCACACAAACATAATAATGTTTAAAGGTCCAGAAGCAATCTAGCTCATAAGCAAAGCCTATTTAAAAACTTAAATATTACCCCGGAATAACTTAAAGAGCAAAGAACATGAATAAGGGACTTATGAGTTTGATAATCTGGAATGAGAAAAGAAGCTAGCCTATAAAGGCTCTCCATTGGAAGTTGTACAATACTGTAATACCCTAATTTTAATTAGGGGAAAATTAATAATTTTATTTCATTAGTAAACATAGGTATAGGGTTTAACCACCTCACCCTGTATTTATAGCAGTCATTCGCCCTCTTTCATGATAGATAGCATGGCATCAAAGGAGGAGGACAGGAGCTGCTAGAGTGAAATAAAGATCAATGTAGGGATCCTCCTCTTATCTGCTTTATTGGTTCTCTTCTCATATCATGATTCATGTTTATTTGATAGTTTATCCTGATCTTACATCAATATGAAATATAATAAGCCAAATTGTTCTAGACACATAAAATAAGTTGTGTAAAATTAAAGAATTCTGGTATTTGTGAGTTGTGTTGACAAATTTCTTCTTTTCTGTTGATTTTGGAATTTCTTGGGGTTGTTTATGTGGTATCGTTTTTTTCCCTTTGCTCTTATTTAAAACTGGATCGGTTGTTGCCCGATCGGGATGAGAGGGTTCTTGATATCAAAGGTGGGATCTTTCAGGGGTTTCCTTCTCCTGGAGGTACACCGTAGATGTTCTTGAGATCTTACTGTCCAAGATCCCACCTTCCTTGCACTCTAGTTTACTGTGTTTGTCTCCTGCCCTATTGCCTATGCATGGCTTAAGTGTCGACTCAATGGGAGAACAAGAGAGGCAGCGGGCTTAGGTTTCTTGGAACAAGAGGTGGGATCTCTCGTTGGGGGATTCCTTCTCCCACAGCTATGTCGTAGATGTCTAGTAAAGATCTTGTCCAGTTGTGGTGAATCTGTCGATTGTACCTTGCTCTTTGGGTCTGATTCTTGATGCTAAAGAATGGAAGTATTATGAATTGATTCTTGGTGTTTATGAAGAATCCGTGTAGATTGAAATGTTCCCTAGCACACCTGTGTCAGATTTCTTCTGTCCACCAGTCTATCGTCTTTAGAAATCATATGTTAAGGAAAAGATGTTTGATCTTGTTAGGAAAATTTCTGATATTTGGGCAAAGAATTAGCTGCTGAGAAACATTATAAAAAAAATAATCAAATCATACATAAAACCCTAAAATTTAGAATTCATATGATCATTTAAAGCTGTTTTGTGATTCAAATCATCATGCCCGTGTCGGCGCCAACTTGCATATTTTGTTAAAGGTAGTGTCCATTTTTTTCAATAATCTAAAAACCTTGACTTGGAATTAAATCTAAGAGTGTTCTGAGATAGCTTCTAGAGTGACTACTAGCCTTATGCATGTCATTAATACCTGTTGATAGTGAATCAGCATCATCAGATGATACTTCGAAATGTTCTATATCACCAAATAAATGAGTGAAGTGGTCTCTGTATAACTACCACAAAAGCAGCCATTTGTCTGCCAAATGTGCTTCATATTTTGCAAATTCTTTGATGGCATGACTCTGAAATTTTAGTCTAAATGAAGACTCAAAGATTGAGCCAGCAAAAAAAAGGAGATGGAATGACTAATATGCAAAATATAAAGTTGATTAGTTTGAAAACGAGCGACGGACAAGTCCCAACGTCTCGCGAAGAGGGAATTTTACAAGCAATTCAACGAGCACCTTAAGTACAAGAGAGAAAAGAAAGGAAGAAAAAACAAGGACTTTAGAAGGTTGAACAAATAATTGCAAGTCTGTAAACAACTGCTCATCGGGTGTCAGGCGCGAAGGCAAGTTCCCGTCAAGTTAACATGCGAACTTGTGAAGATTGTTCAACGCCTGACACTACCCCGAAGCTCCATCCCCCCTGGTGCCACCTAGGGGGTTTCAAGGTACTGAGATGGCTGACGTTTTGCGTGAGGCTACGGTCTGCAGAAAACAGGTTATGGCACGCGAAAACAGAGCCATTTTGGGACAGTTTGGTCCGACGCGGCGAGCAATCGCACTACAGCGCCGCGAACTATCGTTGCTTATATTTTTCAAGCAAAAACACACAAAACCAAGGCAAAACATGCTGTCATGTATCTGTACAAGCATGCAAAAGTGACGAACGGTTCGTTGAACGAAGTTGTTGCAGGTGCGCGACGACCGTTCGTAACACCACGCCCAACCTAGCGAAAGGAACCCAATGGAATAAACCCTGGCGTGAGCCTCCTCTGCCCTATGTTGTCATCTATAGCTTTATTTCTCTACCGTGTGAGCTTACGTCATCGACCAGCTTCGTTCTGCCATTGGTTACCACCTTCCTCCACCCTAACCACTACCTTTGTCGATTGCCACCTTCGTTCTGTTCGCTGCTGCCTTCCTCGGTGCCATACTCCACAGCCTTTCACCAATTGGTCACTACTCCATCTCCTCCTCTTTCTCAATTTATAGGTAACAACAACAACTTTGTCAGATGATCTCCTATTTCCTGCACCTCTAAGGATCTCCTATTTCCTATTTTATTTCTTGCACTTTGTTAAATTTCCTGCACCTTGAGGTGGGTACATTATCAAGAGTTAGAACATAACAGTATAATGGAAGATACAAACATCGCACCTTCGATATCTACTCTTATTTCTTGCAAAACAACACCCTTTTGGGAATTTCTATTACCCTAATAGATGGAAATGAACTTGATTTAAGCACCCTATTGGGGCAAACAACACCTTATAGTTGTAGGCTTGCAACATACTACATGATCTGTTGTTATTAACGTTGTATTTCGCCTTCAATGTCTGATCCTTTTTATATTTCAGGAAATAATAACAAGTGTAGAGAGTAATTAAGAAGAATCATCGGCAAAAAACTCGAGAAAGGATCCCAGTTGAAAATGCAACTATCTAAATGATCCTAAAGATCCTAATGTTGTGACTCGTATGTTTTGCAAAAAAACTACTAAAGGCAACATTTTTCATGCAAAGTAAATCATGTAGGGAACTTCAAGAATGCATCACTATGCAAAAAGTGTCCACCTGATATATAAAAAGAGTTACTGGCTTATATAAATGATAAAAAGGTAAAAAAGAACAAATCTTATGGGATTTTACCCATGGTTCGCCTTAACAGTCTGTACCGGTGTACCGATCAGCCATCGATACGGTACGTACCAACACATGGTACAGTGGGGTGTATTAACAAATTAGTATGTGCTGCCCATACCGATCCTCTATTGGATTGGTACGTACAGCCCGTATCAAGTGATACACCATGGCACGACGAACCTTGATTTTACCTAAGGATAATGATACTCTATATATTAGAGATGATAATGAAGAGGAAGGTCATTTAAAAAATGCCAATGCCAGTGGGAAAAGAGTATCCGGAAGAAAAGGAAAAGAAATTGTGATTGCTAAAAAGGCTAAAACTTCAACAACAAAAAAAGGGGACCGATGGACTTGTATATGTTTCAAGAATAAAAAAAAGCTATAAAAGGTCAGAAAAAGCAAAACTAAGATAAACAGGTATAAATGATGCTTGTGATAAGAAAATAAGGGCAAGAATGATTCAACACATTGCTCGCATCTCACATTAATGCTTCTCATTTAGACAATTTTAAACATATGATTAAAGCTATTGAAAGATGTGGTCCTAAATTAAAACCTCTAAGTTATCATGAGTTAAGAGTTTTATTACTAAAAAAATAGTTGAAGTACACAAATGATTTATTGAAGGGTCATAAGGAAACATAGGCAAAGCATGATTACTCTATTATGTCATATTTCTGGATTAATAAGAGAAGGATGAAACAATTATAATTAATTATGATCAACTATTTTTTGGGAACCATGTTTGTGAAGTCAATAGATGCATCTTCTTTTATGAAATCTGGAGAACCGACATTTGAGTTGTTTAACAAGTTTGTAGAAGAAATTGGAGAACAAAAAGTTGTTCAAATTATAACTAATAATGGAAGCAACATGTTTTAACAAGTAAAATTTAGCTTTTGAATGTTTAAAACTTTTAATTACTCTATGTCGCCTATTTGAACGAAAGCAACTATGTGACTCTTATGTATTATCAATATTATTATCCTCTTTCTTAGGTAAATTACTCCAAGTAAAAAGACAACACTTGTATTAGACTCCGTACACGGTACCAAGGTTCGTAATTTCGTACCGTACCGAAGTATCGAGTTCAGCTCAATATGATATGGTACGAGTATACCGAGATGTATGATCTGGCATATATATATATATATATATATATATATATATATATATATATATAAAATAATAATAATAATAATAATAATAAATAAAGGTTAAAAAAATAAAAAAAAGCGACGACATCGTCGAGGCAATGTGGCATCGTTTCTTCTCCCCACACCGAGGCTTCTTCTCCCCGTATAGATTAGAAGAAGTCGCCAACGACACCGAGGTCTCCTCGTGAAGCCTCGACGACGTCACCAAAGTTTCTTCTCCCCACACCGAGGCTTCTTCTCCCCTCACAGATTAGGAGAAGTCGCCGACGACGTTGAGGCCTCATCACCTAAGACGAGGAGGAGGTGACATCTCATTTGTAGCGTCCGGCGAGGGACGACAACGACGAATCAAGATCGTTGAGGGAGAGCAACGCCAGATCGCCAAGTTCTCCCTTTCCTTCTCCCTCTTCTTCTCTCTCTTTTTCCTTCTCCCTCGGCTAATACCGCTCGGTAGTGGACGGCGACGGTCAAAATTGACCGTCACCGACCGATTTCAAGTGGTAACGGGGCGGGAACAGCCCCAATCCACGGTATTGCCCAGTAGCGGGCGGTCCGCGTACCGATTTGCTGACGGACTGGTACGTACCGCTCGGTACGTACCACCCGATACGGGCGGTATCATTCAAAATTAAAAACCCTGCGTACCAGGCTGTATCATTCGAAATTAGAAACCATGCACAGCACATTGCATTGATCTAATGTTGGAGAATATTGAAAATATTGCAGACATAATGAAGACCTTAGAAAAAGAGATTTTTGTCATTGAACTTCTATATAATCATATTGGGGTTTTAAATATGATGAGAGAATTTACAAGCAACAAAGATTTGGTGAGGCATAGTCTTATGCAATTTACTACTTCATTTCTAACATTGCAAAGTGTGAATTGACAAAAGCATAACCTTAGAATTATTTTTACCTCAGAGAAATGGGTAACAAGTAAATAAGCAAAAGATGCAAAAGGCAACAGGGCCAACAATATTATATTAATGTCATCCTTTTGGAATCATGGTCTATACATTACAAGTAACGAGCCCTCTTGTTCGAGTTTTTCGGCTTGCAAATAATGAAAAGAATGAGATATATTTATGAAGCAATGGATAGAGCTAAGAAAACGATTCAAAATTCTTTTGGTAGAAATAAAGAAAAGCACAAGGATATATTTACAATCATAGACAAAAGATAGGAATGTCAACTTCATAATCCACTACATGTAGCAAGACACTATTTAGACCCAAAATTCTTTTATAAAAACTCCACTATTGAGTTTTATGTAGAAATTCTATATGGGTTATATTAGCACATTACAAGATTAGTTCTAAGCACTAAAGTTTAAGATAAGATTAGCAACATATTATCTTTATATAAGAATCCTAAGGAATTAATATGATAGTTTGACAACTAAATTCCCAAATATAACTTCATATAATTAACATCATATAAAAACATATAGTGTGTTATTATTAATAATGAAATTAAAATTTACAACTGAATGGTGAAGCTTATTTGGTTAAATGAAGTTAGGGTATCTTTGAGAATGTAGCTATATAAGAATATTTTAGTTTCAACTAATCTATTCTTTTTTAAATAGATTTATTAATATATATTTAATTTTATAACATGATAGATTCATATAAAAAGAAATATCAATTGGGGCATCAATGATTACATGCTCAAGTCTATATAAAATATAATCAAGCACTAAAGACTCGTTATAATTTGCAATATATTATTGATCCAATCCTATTACAAGATATTGATGATTCAAATGAATGGTTGGTGGGGAGAAATTGATGCTAACTAACAAAATGCCAAAGATGAGCTTATATTTAATTATAATAATTTGACCTAGGGAGATGTAACAAGAGCTTTAGGTATTGGAAAAATAAGAATATGCATAAGGCAACTCACAAAGACAAAGATGAGTACAAAAGCCTAAGTTCACCACCAACCATTGTTGAAAGGAAAAAAACTATATTGATGAAGATTAACAAGAGAAATATAAATCAACTGATGAGAAAGAGGAAAATGATGATAAGTTTAAAAATGATGAAGTTGATTTACTTGATTATGATGATCATTGAATTTAATGTTAGTCTTATTTTGTTTTGACATTTTTATTATTAGATTTGGATAATATAATTTGATACTTTATAGGATTGCAATCTAATATGTCATTTTTATTTTTGTGATCATATTTATAATCATAATATATTTTTAAAAATTTTAATATTCAGGAGTGCCTCGTGTCGTTATCTCTCATAGTCCTTGGTGCCAAAATTTTTACTTGAAATATTACATGAACCTCTAGCACTTGCACTAGATTACAAAGATACACAAGTTACACTAAGCTTTATGTTTTGACAATAAGTTTCACTTGATCTGCTATAATAAGAAAACAAGACTTGTTTTCCAAATTTAGCTAAATGAATCTAGAGATTAAAATGGTCTACGGAGTTTTATAATGCAGAAGATAGGGTAGTTTATTCAAGGGCTAGCCTTAAAGATTGCTCCTCTACAATCTATGGATTAATAGGTTCGAGGTTAAAACAAAGCCTATCTGCTCAAATCCTCAGACCCCGCCTTGGTAGGAGCCTCATGCTTTGTGCCAACCTCCAAATAAAAAGTATGTATTAAGTTCCAACATATGCTAATGTAAATTAACCTTCCAGTGGCAAACTAGTTGTTATCAAAGCAAGTATACATGGAATGTTAAAATTAATATTGAAGTTAGGAGCATATCATTACCTTGTCATCATTCTCAAAGTGCTCCAATTTAGATAACTTTCCAGTAGTCACTATTTCATGAATCTGCAAACCACAATTATTCATCTTGAGCCATGCATGAAGTTACAAATAAATAAATAGAAGGAAACAGAAAATTTTATGGCAACCGACTAATCATATATGAAACTGTCCTTAATACAGGTACAATAACAAAATTTTTGGTATTAACAGAACTAGTATCTTTTTCCCTTTTTCCTTTTCACTTTTCAGGGCAAGGCCTCTTCATCAGGGAGGCAATATATAAGCACATCAGTGCCACTCAGAATAAATTATTCAATCACTAATGAATATTTTTTTATTTGGTTGTGGAAATGTATAAAAGACTGTCTGGAAACTTGGAACGTACAGAACCTTTCTGGGTGTGCAATCAACGAAAATGATAACTATAAACTTTCCAAAATTGCTAACAGTCAGAAACCAATGCAAAGGTCAAATATTAAGTTCCATGGTAGCGCATGTTGTACACTAAGTGTTGCTGTTATTGTTGTTTTGTAATTGATTAAATTAATAAACAATAAGCATAGGTCAAGATAAATGTCATTCTTTTTATAATATTCCACTTAGAAGTAGATGAATTCAGAAGAAAGGAATAACTAGAAATTCATAAAACAAAAGTTGGAGCCCTTTACTAACCATAATTTTAAATAGTGTTTTTAAAGAAAAATCAAACCATTGACTCCCTGGATAGACAAGTAACAACGGTACCAGTCTAATGCTAACGGCCATGACATAAGATCATGGACAAAGTGGCATAAACAGGTAAGTAACCACTCATGTATGTTATTTGTGTCTAGCACTAGTGATTAGTGGATGGTAATCATATTATCTCCCAGTTTATCAGAATCATGTAAATGCATAAAATAATAGCTTCTCTTGTCCAATGATGATTGTACTGTAATATTCACCCTAAACCAACAGCTTAGATATACTTCTCAAGAGAACAGATATGAGTGTACTTCCTGGTTCCTAGGAAAGGGTTATCACAAAAATAAGCATGTAAATTTCCATAAAATATTAGACTGTCTTTTTTACAGAATTATTTAAAGTCATAAAATATGGGAATGTGGGGTTACTGGTGCTTCACGTTAGTGTTTCAAAATGATAAAACGAAATGTAACTCTACACCTTAGAGAATGGTAGGTCATATAAAGTACAATATGATGACAAGGGAACTCTTTCCATAAAAATAAGGAAATATTTCTTCACCCATATCACCTTATATTGTGTTAATTATTGAGACAAACCTTATAAAATCCATGAAAAACTCATCCTAACAAATTCTTCAACTAGTCCTTTATCACAGCATTTTGTATTGTCACAAAAAGGTTGAGAACCAAATTGTATACATGAAATAATTACAAGATCAATATATGGGAAATACGTAAGGTGGACTTGTTCCTGCAGAACTAATAATAGTATGGAATATCACCTTGGAAAAGAAATACATGATTGTCTTCATACCCACAAAGCAAATGGATACTGAACAAATTTACTTGGCAATTGAAAGAATTTGCTTACATGGTCCTGCAATGACTTCCCAATTGTAGGAAGATTTTTGACCTGATCAACACTTTCAATTCTAAAAGGCAACTTCTCAATAATAGGAATGGCCTTGTAGTAGCTGAATGACCTCCTTTCATCTCCTAATGCTGCAGAGAAACAATCATTAGGAGTGTCAGGACTGAGAGGAATTGTGTAATTTCAGACACTCTTCCTGTGTACCTCTGTAAATGTTGATCAGCTTTCCAAATATTTCAGTAATGTTCCTGTTCAGATCTGGTGGGTTGTATGGAGATTGTGACTGAGACACATCAGCCTGATAACACACAAGATATGACCCTTAGGATATGCAGAAATCCTCCATAAGTCTCCACAAAAAGAACAAACAAGCAACATAAAAAATGCTGAGATCTGCCTCAACAATTTCATTGCGACAAATGATGATTTTTATTTCATCAAAATCAGAAGAAAAAAAACATGTGACACTGTTGGAGAATTTTGTCGATAATTGCCAAGAATAAAATTAAAGAATATTTTGCAAAAGAGATATTCCAAAGACAATAATGAAAAACTGTTTAAGTTGGTAGCAGAGAGGGCCCCAATACAGAAGGCTATACTGACTGTAAATCTAAATTCAGTGGCCAAACAAGGGCCACATCGGTAAAGTTGGTATTAAGAACATATGCAATATGAAATAGCAAGGTGGTACAGCAAGAACAATAGTGGCAGCTGAATAATTACATTGGTGAAATGGAAGATGTTTTGGCAAGAAAACAACCATGATTTTCCCCAAAAAAACATTATCAAAAGATGAAAGTCGCCTAGTCTGGTGTCAAAACCACAGTGGGAATTAAGTTGATATATACCAGTGTAGTTGCATAAGCAGACCTGGAATTTGGAAGCATGGTCAGGGCACAATGATGAAAGTTAGGCTGGAGCAGCCATGAGTTGGTACATAAAGATCATCTTGGCTTAACAGAAAGGAAGATACTAGCATGAATTTGTTGTGTTACTTTCTACAAAATTTGAAAGAAGCTTAGGAATGTTAAAAAAACCACATTTCTCTGTAAATGTTTTCTCCCTTCTAGTTTTATCCAAAATTAAGATTTGAAGAAGATCTAACTTATGATCTGTTTCTGTTCTTAAGTTAATTCAAAACATATGACAGTAAGATCTATGAAAAAAACCCAAATGTAAACACCTTGTTTGTTGGTGCACCAGAAGCATCAGTCCCAAGTTTGGTATCTTGTAAACTGTCATTGCTCGTTGATGGACCCTCAACTTGACCATGAACGCCAGAGTGTTGATTTTCTGATCTAGTTGAGTCTGCTTTCTTGGCTCTATTTTCTTCCATGCTTGATCCTTCCACAACCTTAGAGGAAACTTTGATCCTTTTGTGGCTTGACAGCTCATCATCAGAATATCTAGCTTCAGATGGTTCAGGAGATATCTTGCCAGAGTGCTTATCTGATCTATTAACACCTTGAAACTTCAGCACATATGGATCTTCAGCTATTTTTTCTCCTAATCTTAGACAGTTCTCTAACCATTGATAATGAAGTAAACTCTGCAGCAGCATTTTGAAAATAAGATGTTCTAGAATAGCTAATGATGAATTAAGTATAAATTTCCATTTAAGTTACAATACGAGATAGAAAAAGCCAAAAGAGGCATTTCATAATTTTTAAAAGCAGTATGTAGACAGTATCCAGCAAAAATTGATAAAAGAAAAATTGAAAATACAGAACCTACATTTTTCCTAGGGATCAATTGTGTTAAGAAAACAACATGATGAATTCACGATTACTTCCAACATAAGAGTTCAAGGACATGACCAAAATACCAGTATATCAACAAAAATTCTGGTATCTTCCCATTAAAGAAATTAGATATAGTAATGCAGCAATGATTGGATTTTGAATTTTAACCTTTCTATCATATAAAGAATCCCTGATATGATCCTCGAGTTCGCACTGTGATATCCTAGAAAGTTGTACAGTATCATGATCAACTAATGCAAGAAAGTTGTAATGCTTTGATAGTTTCTCTTAGTTTGGTTAAGCATTTATTCTTTTTTTTATTTTTGAGGTCTGCTTATTGCAACAGAAAGATCAAGCCAATCAAGTGAATGGTTAATAAAACACAATAAATTGCAAAAGGAACACTGTGCAAACAATTATGTATCTTCATTTTCCAAATACATGCTAGATATAACATGAAAAAAGTATGCTCATTGATAAATCTGTATAAAGCTAGTAGAGGTAGATAAACTTCTAATTGATGGAATAACATTATGATACTGAAATATTTTATATCATAGATCATGATAAAAGAACAAGCAGATCCTCTTCTCCACAAAACAAAACAAAAAAAGATTATGCAGTGATCATGATAGAATATCACAGAATTACATTATTTGATTAAATCAGAATTGTACTATCATGATAGTATATATAAAGTCAGTAACATAATACCTAACAGAGACTGATGGCAATTGGCAACCAAGCCTTCATATGGTTGTATATATATAATAACAGCTCTAATAAGGAAAGATACAAACAGATGGAGAACAAAGATATTCAGAATCATTTTGTCGTCAGCATGTTAACAAATGCACTGTTCTACTTCTACCAATTATTTCATATACTTTAAAAATGGAATTTCGACTCCAAAAAAATTTATGACTAATTGAATGCTTTGTACTCCTTCAAAAATGAAGATTGGTGGTAGTTTGAAATTGTGATTTCTAATGTGAGCTTTACTTCAATGTATTTCTTGTATTGCTGTAGCATCAGTAATCTCACATGCATATCGCATGCTGTCAGTAGAGAAATATAAATATATAAATGCACCCTAGTATCTAATTGAATTATTAAAGCATGAGTCCTAAATATTAATAATACTACAAGAATTATTAAAGCGTGAATCCTAAGTATTAATAATACTACAAAAATTATTCCTCATAGAATTTACCAAAAATGCCACTTATTTGGAATCAAAATTATTTAAACAACATAGATGAAACTTCAACTGAAATTTTAATTAATAAATGGTCACCTTATGTCTAATAAGGATGCCAACAAACTCAGACTGAATTGTATGTAGTTGCAAAGAATGTTGTATTGTGTACCGAACTTGTACCAATCGCTGGTCGGAATGGTACGTAATGGTTGACACCAACACATGGTACACCAGACATTTTGGTGTTTCAAAGTCGAAAAAGAAGAAGAGGAAGGCCATAGTGGAGGAAGGAGGAAGAAAAAGAAAGAGGAAGCAAGAAAAAGGAAGAAGAGGAGGCGATAGAGGAAGAGGAGAAGGAATAAGGAGGAAGAGGAAGGAAGAAGGTAGAGGCGATCGAGGAAGAGGAGAAGGAAGAAGCAGTGGAGGAGGAAGAAGAAGAAAAGGAGAAGATGAGGGAGAATACTGAGGAGGTAGGCAATGGCAAATGGTAGTGGTGGCATCGAACGGCAACGACGATGCGAACGACAACCGTGGCATTGTCCATGTACTGGTCCAGGCCCTAACCGGCACGTATTGCCCATTTGTACCAGTCCAACGGACTTCCTTGTGTGGTAGTATACATCTATTCCAATACAAGCTAGGAAATTAAGTTATTTTAGATTTCTAATTATATGGAGCAGAAAACTGAAAATTTGTCTGCTTTTATTTTATGAGATAAAAAGTTTCTCTTTGTGTTTTTGTCCATACTTTTTGTTATTATAACTTCCTGTCCACTCCCATTGCTATAAACCATGTGTGTGATTATACCAAGCCACATTTGTGTATGGATATATCTCAGTAACTGAATGTGTCATGATGTGATCTTTTTTTGCTTTTGAGATTCATTTTTTTTTCATAATATAAACACAACCAACTGCATGTTCTTTCTCCATATCCAGAAATGATAGGTGAAAAGGTCCATTGCTTCATTTTGTCGCTGTTTCTAGATAGTATTGTCAATGTCATAAATTGAACAGACTCACATGATATTACATCCCAATATCTGAATAATCTAGAACAAAAAGATTAACAAAATCAGGAAAGAACCTTTGATGTTCATCTAAACAGTAACCAGTACAAAGAAGAAACTCACTCCTTCATGTCGATGCAAGCGTTCCAGGTTCACTTGCTGTAGAAGCGTACTAGAGTTCATTGCAAAAATATGAGTAACTCTCTTTGAGAGGTTATCATCAACCACAGCTCCCATTTGGGTTAGCTTCTGCTTCCATACCTAATGATTGCATCAAATCAATGCCTGGTGAAACTTACAAAGAACTAGGGATTTTGCAGAATTGCCATGAACACAACTGCACACTTCTTTGAAGTTGCAAGACAAAAAAGAAATATATCAGTATTGGTCACAAAGAATTAGGGCTCAGATTGAAATTGGATTGAACAACTGATTTAGTTTCTCAAAAAGTAGCCAAGGATTTTGGAGAGGTGTCCTATATCATTTTAAGACATCTGATGGGTACACTAAAGTCAACCAACCAGCCAGGTTTTCTTAGGTCTTTTGGTGTTGTTTCATCCAAATTACCATGTTCTCCAAGCATTGCCTTCTTTACCCAATTGTAAAGTGCTTGTTGCTTTATCAAGAAACACAAGAGAGCAAGATCCTCATGATGTACCATGAGAAAATACCCAATCCAGCAACTTACTCATCAATACCCTATTGAGGATGCCTCGAAAGAAATCGAGACCCTTCTGTTAGTAGTCTTTGCTACTTCAAAGGATTGTTCTGAAAATATCGCTTTTGATTGAATTCGTCGAAGCCGAGAAGTCGAAAGAAGCCCTTGAAACACAAGAGATTGCCGTTAACAACATACTCATTAAGATAACGCTTTTAATTCAATTCATCGAAGCCAGGTAGGTCGAAATAAGTCCTTTGTTCACCCAATTGTAAAGTGTTTGTGGTTTATCGAGAAACACAAGAGAGCAAGAACCTCATGATTAATCAAGAGAGAATACCCGATCCAGCAACTTCCTCGTCAACACCCTACTGAGGATGCCTCAAAACGAATCAAGACCATTCTGTTAGCAGTCTGTGATCTTTCAAAAGATTGTTCTAAAAATATCGCTTTCAATTCAATTCATCGAAGCCAAGAAAGTGGGTAGGGGGCCTTGAAGTCCTGAATCGACCGCAAAGACGACCACCGGGCGCGGCGCTCCAAGATTCCAAATCATAGATGCGCCATTGCCCGGTTCTCGAGTACCAAGAAACAGAAAAGGGCAGGGAAAGAACGCAAAGAAGAGGAGAGAGGAGGAGGAATCCATACTTGAAGCCTTCGGGGTTGGACGCCCTTGGGGACCAAGAAGACGACCATGCCCTGGAACATGCCATCGGGGTCCGGGGTAGGAGACCGCTGCCGGTTCTGGGAGCCCCTTCTGGGCGCCATCTGCTCGTCCCTCTTTCTACTCCAACCTCACCGCTACAATGACAATGCCGGCTTCTACAGTTGACATGGCGCGTGTAAAGACAGGAGAGAGAGAGAGAGAGGATTTATGCCACTAGGAAAAGTTTCAACTTCTATTACTATTGTTGAGGAATCCTATGATTTCTGAGAACTACTAGGGATAATTACTAGTGAAACATTTAATGTTGAAAAAATCACACATGTTATTATTGTTAAATTATTAGATTTATATCCGCTTCTTGTCTTTAACTTATTTATTTTCATCTCCTCTTTCCGACCTACTTACCGGCCACTCGCCCATCTCACTCGCTCGATCATCGTCACTCCTACACTGCTCGATCGTCACCACACTTGCACCGCTCGCCATCGTCACACTTGCATCTCTCCACTATCGCTCCTGTAGCACTCGACCACTACCTCTCCTGCATCATTCGTCACCATCGCACTGGACCCGCTCGACTACCGTCACTCCTGCATCACTCGATCACCGCACCTACATTGCTTGCTATCGTCGCACTGGACCCAACTTGCCCATCGTATCCGTTCAACCGTCGTACTTGCCCGCCTATCGTTCGCCAACAGCACAATTGGGTGCGTTCGCTGCGACGATGGAGGAGACTGGTGGGTCGATTTTGAAGCTTATGGAGTTCGCCAAGGGCAAAGCGGAGGACGATAAAGCTTATGGGTTGGGGAGCTTTCCATTGCGTAAGAGGATGACGATCTTGGAGTCTTACAAGCAGGTGCTGAGTTCATGTTTAGGGATGATTGGGTTTCCACCATTACTAATTCATCTATTTGCTTTTGTTTCTCCTTGCATGTTCTATGGAATGGCATCAAATTGTCTATAGATTCCAATTGTATTAGCAATTTGTTATATGTTATAATCATGAGATAACAGCCACACAACAATCCACTAAGTATAACCGGTGACGAGTGAGTTGGGTCTTATGCGACGATGGCGAACGATGCAGGTGTGGTGATTGAGCGGTGTAGGAGCAATGGTAGTCAAGTAAGTCCAGTGCGACGATAACGAGTAGTGCAGGAGCGACAGTAGTTGAGTGGGTCCAGTGTGACAGGGTGGAGTGGTGTAGAAGAGGGACGGTTGAGTGGTATAAGAGCGATGGCGGTGAGCAGTGCAAGTGCGATGGCGGTCGAGCAATGCAAGAGCGGTGGCGATCGAGTGGTGCAGGTCGAGCGGGTACAATGGGCGAACAATAGGAAATAGGTCGGAAAGAGGAGAGAAAGAGAAATCGATTAGGACAAGAAGTAAATATAAATTTAATAACTTAAAAATAATAAAATTATATTTTTATCCTTTGTCATTTATACTATTTTTATACGTGACAACACGTACGATTTTTCTTATCGAAGAAGTTAATTGTATAGGAAGAATTAAGATTAAATGTTTCACATTCATAAATGCAGAGACCTCAATGTTTTTTTTTAAGTATAAAGATCGGGATTCTAATCATAATTAACTATAGAGGATAGCTACCACATAAGTTCAAATCTATTTAAAGACAACAGTAAATTCTTTTTTTTAAAATGCATTTGTTACGATTAAATTCTCTCTCTTTGTCTTATAAGACTTGTAGAGATCAATTTCTGCTCCAAATTATATTCTATAAAAAAAAACCGGTCATCAAAGTCAAGAAAAAAGGTAACGTAATCATGATGTCAGGGTACATGATTATTTCGGTGAGCAATCTAAAGTAATAAAATTGACTCAATACGATTATTTTTTAGTGTTATTAAATCACTTAAGTCTTAATCCACATGTATTCCTATCTCATGTGTTGCTTCGATCTGAGAACAAAAAATGTTCTTTATCTCATTGTAATCCAATTTTACCCGACAATAGGTTCGATAAAATCTTTCTAATGGTTAAGTCGGTTCATTTTGTTATAGACAAAAATATATTTTTAATTTACTAATCCAAGACGTCCTCTCCCAAAATCTAACACCCGCAGACACACCTCTCTGTCTTCCCTGATATCATCAACCTCTCACCTCCGAGAACAACCCAAATTAAGCTACGAGCGACGCTCACCTCCCTCCCGCTTCCTAAAACCCCTCCCCGCCACTCCTCTCGTCCCCGTTTCCTCCTTTCTTCATTCCCGTCCTCTCTCCTCCGCAACCTGCCGACCCCTTTCTCTCCATGCTTCTTCTGACCACCCCAAGCCTTCCTCTCTTCCATCATCCGATCCCCTTGGCAGTGGCACTGGGTTCCACGGATCAAACTTAATCGGAGAAGAGCATGCAGAAGCTCGTTAAGATGGCGAGCCATCTCTTGGTGGTATGGCTCGTGGCCCTTTGCTTCGCCAGCCGAGCGGCCGCGAAGCTGAGCACCACCTACTACCAGAAGACGTGCCCCGAGGTGGAGCAGATCGTGTTGGACGTGGTGACCAGCAAGCAGATCACCACCCCCACCACCGGCGCCGGCGCGCTCCGCCTCTTCTTCCACGACTGCTTCGTCGGCGGCTGTGACGCTTCCTTGCTGGTCTCCACCAACGCCTTCAACCGCGCCGAGCGCGACGCCGACGACAACATCTCCCTCCCCGGGGACGCCTTCGACGCCGTGGTCCGCGCTAAAACCGCCCTCGAGCTGCAGTGCCCCGGCGTCGTCTCCTGCGCCGACATCCTCGCCATCGCCACCCGAGACCTCGTCCTCATGCTGGGCGGGCCCCGCTACGCTGTCCGCCTCGGCCGCAAGGACGCTTTCGCCTCCACCGCAGCTTCCGTCGCGGGCCACCTCCCCTCCCCCAACATGACCATGGACCAGCTCATCTCCCTCTTCGAAAAGAACAAGTTCACCGTCCAGGAGATGGTCGCCCTCAGCGGCGCCCACACCGTGGGCTTCGCCCACTGCAGCGAGTTCGCCTCGCGGATCTACGGCTTCAACGGCGCCGACCGGGACGCCCACGACCCGTCACTGAACCCCCAGTTCGCGCAGGCGCTGCAGAAGGCTTGCGCCAACTACGTCGAGGACCCGACCATCGCCGCATTCAACGACGTGATGACGCCGGGCAAATTCGACAACATGTACTACCAGAACCTGCTGCGTGGATTGGGGCTGCTGGCCTCCGACACCGCGCTGGCGGCGGACCCGCGGACCAAGTCCTTCGTGCAGCTCTACGCCGCCAACCAGACGGCCTTCTTCGAGGACTTCAGCCACGCCATGGAGAAGCTCAGCGTCCACGGGGTGAAGACCGGTCGCAAGGGGGAAATCCGGCATCGCTGCGACGTGTTCAACAACCTCTCCACCTAAATCAATGCGGATTCGGATTCGGGTTTATCGCATGCGAAACAGCGATGGATTCTCAATTGTTATTTTCTTATATATACTGATGGAGATGAGAAAGGGCGAGCGTATATTACATCTAATTGTGTGTGTTTTTTGTTTTGGAGTATCGATTGATATTGCTTACCTTCTATCTGATGGAGAAAGAAATGGATTATGCGATTGAATGTGAAACAATTAATTTATGAGTACAACACCATGAAGCCTATCTACGTCACCTCAAAACTCTCATGATCGAAATAAATAAATATATATATATATATACTTAATTAGTTTCTTAAATATTTTATTATTTTATAATTTTGAACCAAATTGGTTTATCTAAGTCGGTGGTACAGTGAATTGGTTCCCGAGATATTAGGCATCTGACGAATACCGAAAGGTAAGAACCAATTATGAATAACAGTTTACCTAAATACTTTCGAATTTAGTGGGTCCCACTCCACGTCACCACCTACGACAGGAGAGATGCGGCGGCTGCGGGTACGCGAGCCGCGTGGACGCGTAAACGAGGCGCACACCAGACTTCTCCAGAATCATCCTGGATGTTTATAAGACCAAACCAATCGCGTGTCTTGGAACCCAAGAAACGACGGCAAATCTACAAATACCTCGAAGCCAAGGCACAGGGGCGACAAAGGAGGACGAAGAAGGAAGCAGGAGTAGCCATGAGGGGAGGAACGGAGGCGTTTCCTGATCTCGGAGAGCACTGCCAACACGAAGACTGCAATCAGCTCGACTTCCTGCCCTTCACCTGCCATGGCTGTAAAAAGGTACGACCAATCTCCTCGTCCTCTTACCGCGGCCTCTGCAGCAACAACTGATTGGGGCCTTGTTTCGAACAGGTCTTCTGCTTGGAGCACCGGAGCTACGCAGCTCACGTCTGCCCAAAGGCGGACCACAACAGCCGATTCGTGGTGGTGTGCGAGGCCTGCTCAATGTCCATGGAGAAGCGGGCGGGCGAGGAGGAGAAGGCCGCGCTGGAGCGGCACGAGAAGTCGGGGTCCTGCGACCCGAGCAAGAAGAAGAAGCCTAGGTGCCCCGTGAAACGCTGCAAAGAGGTTCTGACGTTCTCCAACAACAGCACTTGCAAGGTCTGCAACCAAAGCGTCTGCCTCAAGCACAGGTTCCCTTCCGACCACGCCTGCAAGCCGCCGCCTCGATTGCCAACCAGGTGCGGGATGGATTGCGGAGACTGGAAGGGCAACGTCTCTACGCGTTCATCCGTAAAAGCCTGCTGACATATCTCTGCCGTCCATGATTCGATCCGTAGGACCTCAAGCGAGACAAAAATGCACGTGTATCTATTTTCTAATTTGTATTTAATTGTTTATTTTTAAGTTGTCTCTGTTCAACAAAAGATTGGTTTTTATATATGGTGTGAAAGGCAAAAAAATTATGTAAGCTTTGGGAAATAAAAATAATTAAATTGTAGATAAAAAGTTTTTATCAAGCAAAAATAAGTTTTTTGTTAACAAGTAAAGCATTTGTATGTTAATTGAGTAAATTTAATTAGAATAAAATATTTTGTATAGAGTTATTACGTGACAATAACCTGTATAGAATTAAATTTATTTTTCTTCAAAATTTCAAAAATATTATATGATAATATTTAATTTTTTTTTGTCTAAAAGTGGTTGTACATTAACCTTGATAAAATTAATAAAATAATATACTTTCAAGTTTTGAAGGATAAATATTTTCGATTGTTCATAAAAATTTTTGGCCAAAAGACCTTATAATTTCATCTGAAATTGGTCAAAAATAAAAATTAAAAAATATCATTTGTTAAGAGCTCATTAAATGGAAGATAGATCTCTTAATTGCTGAGAAAAGAAAAATTGATCAATCAGGGGGCTGGCTAGATATTTTTAATATTTTATGAAAACTTTGTTGATTTTTTAGATAAAAAAAACATAGTTTTATTTTTTTTTAATGAGGTTATATTTTTCTTTATAAGATCCAAAAGTAAAAAAGCATGTGTATTTTTTTCCAATCTCAAAATGTTAGAAATCTTCTCTAATGAAATAAAATTGATTAAATGATCAAATTTATCTTAAATTGGCTAAAAATAAGAAAATTTTAACCTTTTAATGATCGGATTATTTGAAAATATATCTTTTAAAAACCTTAAAGTAGAAACAATAATTATTTAGCCCTTCAAAAGATATTTCTTTGGTTTCATGAAACTTTCAACTTAAATAAAAAATAAAAAAAAAATAAATTTTAAAATTTTAATTACCTGAAAATAATGCTGTTTTTTTGTGTGAAGTTCTATTGTAATTTTGTATAGGATACCAAAAACCTCATTGAAAAATTTGTACAACCTCATTCAAAACTAATGTAACTCAAATATCAAATTTTATTTTTGAAAAAATTTATAAAAATTTCTCTGATGAAATAGAAGTGATTTTGTGGTCAATTTATTATAAATTCACATTAAATTGGCCAAAAATAAGAAAACAAGATAAACTCACCTTTTAAGGGACGAATTAACTAAAAATAAGTTTTCAAAGAAATATGGCATTTTTAAGGTTTCATGAAACTTTTGGCAAATTTTAGTTTAAATTTCAGCTTAAATTATCAAAATAAAAATGGAGAATTTTAGTTTTTCAAAGTGCTTACTTAACTGAAAATAGATTCTTAAAAAGCCCAAAAACAGAAAAAAAAAAAAAGGTTATTTAATACTTCACTATATATTTCCAAAGTTTCATACAATTGTTAAAAAATTAAAAGAAAATTCTTCAATTTGGACTTCATTAGATAGATTATAGGTTCAATAAAATTTTGATATTTTTGGTTAAAAATCGGACTGACTTACAACGTTTGATATTTTGATATTTTTTGAATAAATATCTATTTTTAAAACTTAAAAAATATAAAGATTAATTTATACTTTTTAAGTCATTTATATGGCATATTAAAATTTTATTTTTTTTAAAAAAGGTGTGATGTAAGTTACACTAATTTTTTAATATGACGCAAAAAATAATGTAAATTCATTCAAAAAAGGAATAACTCAAGTCTCCAAAAAAAAATTATTTCCTAAAATTTTCAGAAACCCTCTCTGATAATATTCAAAGAGGTTGTAAATCTGCTTAAATTGGGTAAAATTAAACAATAACATAATTTCAATCTTTTAAAAAATGAAATAAAAAATCACTGCCTATTTTAAAGGCTTAAAAACAGAAAAGCTATTCATTTTAGGATTTGGTATGTCATTTCTGAGGTTTCTTGAAAACATAAATTTTTTTGAAAAGGATGAAATGTAAGTTTATTTTTTTTTATAATGTAAATCATTTCAATTGGTAACCTCAAGTTCAATAATCTCATTATTAGTACCTTCAGAATCTATAACCTTAATCTTTTGTTTCTTCTCAATTAGTTCACTCATCAAAATTTTTTTTTACTTGCGATACTCCTAGCTTCACTTTTCATCCATCCCGATGTTAATGTAAACCTGATCATTCTTTAAGTTTTTCTTAGGTTAATCTTCTATTATTAGAATTTCAATTATGAATGATTAAAGTAGTTGACTTGTTAGTCACTTATTTATTAATATTCTTGGTTCAATGACCTTTTATATTAATTTTTTATATAATCATGTAAAAGAAATTATAATTGTCCTAGTGGTTGACAAACCTTAACTTCACAATGAATATTTAAATTAATACCTTCAATAAATATTTTTATCAATTACATTTTTAGCTTAATTTGATAGTCATTCAAATCGACTTTGATACTCTAGTAGAAGTTTGATGAATCTTGACGTACTATCTATTAATATTCTCATATTCGAATGGTCCAAAATAAATAAGTTCTTTCTTAAAGTACTCTCACGAGGAAACTCCATGATAGGTTTCATATCATTCATAACATTGAACAGCATCCTCATCTAATTAGATTGAAGTTATTTTCACTTTAAAATATTCTAAAATTTTATTAAAATTTTCACTTTAAAAAGGTCACTTACAGCATAATTTAGTTACAACATCTAAAGCCAAAACAAAGTGGGTGACTGAAGGAGATAGAAATTCTAAATATTATCACAATTTAGTTACTATTCATAGAAGAGCCAATCACATTTTATCTTACTTAAACAGATCTTGATACTGTTCCAGATCAACATCAAACTTTAATTGTCTTTCCACACATAATAATTGTTGCTATAGAAACCATATGTTAAATTTGAACTTGACTAAGATCAATGAATCTGATAGGCTGAACCTCATTCTTTCTTTTGTTCAAGATGAGATTTGTATCTCTCTTAGATCCAAATTACTATTCATAGAAGAGCCAATCACATTTATCTTATTAAAACAGATCTTGATACTGTTCCACATCAACATCAAACTTTAATTGTGTTTCCTTCTTTCCACACATAATACTTGTAGCTATAGAAACCGTATGTTAAATTATAACTTAACTAAGATCTTCTTCTTCTTCTTCTTCTTCTTCTTTTCGTTCTCTAAAGCAATGAAAAGATTGTATATGCCTTTATTATACATAGTTTTCGATGTTCATAACCTTCATCATAATAAACATAGTTTACTATGTAGACAACTTTGTATGGACATCTTGACTTCCGTCTCAGCTTTTGAGTTGGATCCGATAGTCAACTCAGAAGATGTGTTCTCCGATTCCTCAATTGTCGAAGGATCACGATTTTTATAGTCATATTCTTTATAAAGGAGACAGAAACTAAAAGATAATGAAGACTAGAAGAGTAAGTCATGATTGGTTTTATGATGTTGCATGCAACCATGTCAACAAGCTTCTTCTCATCTATCTCTAATTAGCAGTAACGAGGAAAGGCTTATGTTATCTTCATCAGCACCGAGTGGATTCCCCATGGATGTTGTCGAGGACGGCAAGCACCCCAACGATGAACGCTTGGTCGTAGCCCGCCTGCACCGTCACCTGGTACAACTCCTTGCCGCCGACCATGTCCGTCGCTCCGAGCTTCCTCAGATCACACGAGGCACGTCAGCATGAGTTCATGCTCGTCGACAATTCACGTCCTTACCTGCGCAACGATGTCTCCGCTGTAATCCTCGATGGTGCATGTCCTGTCGACGAAGGACCCGTGAACTTGGAAGTCCCAGCCTCCGCTGTGTCCGCTGGATTCAAGATGGATCCTGATGGCGTTGCTCATCGGGCACTTGGGATCGGTCAAGCTGAACACCGACTTCTTCCTTCCCTCGAAGTCCGTCAAGTACCCGCTCCATCTGCGGCGGGTGCTCAGAGCTTGGGCGATTCCTCCCTGTGACAGAAAGAACGACATCAACATCGAGGCTGACGAGACCAAGCAGGCCGAGAGACGCTACCCTTTTGCTGATGGAGAGTATCAGCCCTCCGTCACCGTCCTTCAACGCCAACTCCCCCTTGACTCCGAGGATTCCGCAACCTTCCACCACGAAAACCGCACCATGGCTGGCGTTCATCACCACAAAGCCACCTCCATTGATGACGTGAGGCCTCTTCCTCACCGTCAGCGTCGTGGGCGAGGAGGAGCAGTAGATCTTGCTAATGACGGGCTTCACGTTGCTCGACCCACCCATGTTTCCCTTGAACTAGCTGAGTGAGAGGAAGAAGCAGTTCTCGCTGCCTTGGCCTTCTCCCGGCCTGCGTCCATCGAGCTAATATATCGAGGGTGGTGGTGGAAACTCATGACTCCTGCTTGCAGGCACGTTTTCTGGTGGAAGCTACAGAGACCAAACGTAAATGATTGCGTTGAAACCGAGGGCACAAGAAAAGAGTGCAGCATCTTTGAATTCATTGCCTTTAGGCATGAAAGCCAGAACTTTCAAAAGGCTCCTGGAAATCATAAAGCAAATCATCATCTCCATAATGTTGACAACCTCCAGAGAGCTCAACTTGGATTGCTTACAATCATCACAAAGTATCATGTGTTAGTTTTTGGCTTCAGTCCATCTATCTATCCATCCATCCATCCATGTTTTGTTGTTCCTTTTACTGTGGATCCCAATGTCATATAATTTAAACTTCATGCTTATTAGTTTTAGCCTTTTGTTCTAATAAAGCATTGGCTAATCAGCCAAAGTAAAACCAGAAAGAACACTGCTATTAGCTAATCATGACAACTTAGTAATTCTAATCCTTGTTCTTCTAACTTGTGTCGGTTTTTCAACATGAACAATTATCACAGTGCTTATAAAACTAGGCATGAAAGCCATGACTTCCATAAGGTTCCTGGAAGTCATAAAGCAAGCCAATCATCTACACATAATGATGACAACCCCCAGGGAGGAGAGCTCAACTAAACAATCTTTTTGTATGCTCAGCCTACTCAAAGGCAAGAAAGAAAAAAATACAACCTTTGAGGTGTATGTGTGTGCCTGACAGTGGATACCCGGTCGCAAGAAATGCTGTGAAGATTCAAGAACAAATGTATAAACTGGGAGATGTAAAGCTTCCATTATTAACATCATGTCAACCCCTAATTCATAGGTCTCAGCCTAGTGGTTGGTTCCACTCTTCATCTCGATGATGTATGGAAGAACTCTGTACTCGAAGTTTTGGGAAAATGGGAATCAGACTTTTCCAAAACCAGACACCGGATTTGGTAGATCGAGAGCAAGCCTGCCTAACCCTACTGATCTTGAACCTAATCTTATCTGCCTACAATAGAGGAGGAAATGGTGGCCTGGTACATGGTCAAAAGATCCCAGATTGAATGAGGTTGTGGCCATTTCTTGATGCAGAGTTCTCGGAGGACTTGTCTTGCTGTACTCCATAAGATCTCTACCAGACTTGTCATGCGAACAGCTCCTGAGTCTTAACAAGCAAGAAAAGTTCATCCTGTGACACACACAAAGTCGTGCCCAGAAGCTTATTTAGATGGTTCAGGAAATAGTGTCTTCCTAACTTTCTTTGCTTGCAGTGACCTCTCTCTATCATGAAAAGCTAGTTCAATTATGCCAAATATTTATGAACAAAGCTCTGCCACAAAAAGATGATAAACCTTTGGCAATCAGATTTAGAAAACGATGTTTTGCACTCACAGGTGATGGAAGATAATTGTAACGGACCTGAGAAATGAGCAGTTGGATAATAAAAAATGCATAATTAAAAGAGTCTGATTAGAAACTTTTATGTGAGAGATTACAGTTTTGTAACATTTTTGGTCAGCATCTTTCGGTTTGTAAAATAGATTTATGTTATATTATTATATGCAGCATGATGTTTTTTGCATCCAGAAAACAAAAGATCATACATGTCAATCAGCATGGAATATATCTGCACCAATTGAGCAAGAGCTTAAACATCATTAGTTTCAACTCATGAGATTTGCTTGTGCCCGATGTTGTGAACTAAATGAGATTTTGAGCTGTTTTGTAGTGCATGATGCACAGATCTACCATTAGCTGTAAACAGATATATCATGGTGCAGCAGAACTAGTTTTATGGAAACATTTTAGATAAGAAAAAAAATCCTGGTCAAGGAACAATCAAAGAAATGCATGAATCTAGCCGTGTCAGACATCGTCGAGCAGATATCATACACAAGGAAGAAACAAATATTTAATATGGAAGAAACCCGAACATGAATGGAACATTCAACAACTTACAATTTTTATTTATCAGTTGATCTCATTACATTCTGATTTAAATCTTAGTTGTTCGAGGATGACCTGATGAAACAGTCTTCCAGACCCAAACATCAGATGCCGCGAGAAGAGGCATGGATCACCAACTTTGACTCTTGATGAACCAGTTGCTAAATCGAAACACAAAGAGGAAATAAACCAGTATTATGAAGCCATAAATCTTCAGAAAGCCACTTGAGCAGAAATAATTGTTATTCTGCGCCACGTTAGGCAAAAGTAGTCTGAAAACCTTCAAATTCAACTCTTCACTTACTTATCTGTCATTTGAAGAGGGAGACATATCCTGATAATTCAGGATATTAGCCATCTATATGATACGGGACTTCGTACTTGATGCTGCTCGCTACTCCAAGTGATCCAACCAAATGCCATATCTACTGGGTCACCTGCCTTTGTTGACGTAAATGTAACCTTGTACCTCAGTTTCTGGCCAACTTGATTGAAGATGAGTTTTGTTGGTTTCACGGTCACTTTAACACCAGGAGGTCCACCGACCTTCACATTGTACACAGAACCTGGCACACCAACATTTGTTAGCACCCTGTTGTACTTCACGAATCTGCGGGACCTTCTACCAAACACGACAGAGAATGACGGGTAGTTTAGGTTCCCAGGATTGGGGAGACGGCGTGAGCATGTCTTGTTAGTGCTCTTTGAGATGGCCTGAATGTGGTCGGTGGAATACTCCAGGGAGCACAAGAAGGCAAGGTAGTCCCCTGTACCAATGTCATAGATGAGGCCTGGGGAGAGAGCCTTCTGTGGATCAACATGACCGGATCCATAAGCCCATGGTGTCGCAGGTGAACCTCCAGCACCATCAACGAGAGGAGATCCAGTATTGTCATCAGTGTATGCCGTGGTCATGAGGGCAGACTTGATGGCACTGGGGCTCCAATCAGGGTGGGCAGCCTTTAGCAATGCAGCAACCCCACTAATGTGAGGGCAGGACATTGATGTTCCTACATGCATACAAGTTGGATCTTAAAATGGATGAAAATTTCACAAGCCACCAATTATTTGCCCATAGTAATTACTGCATTTTGCAGAGAGAAGTATCCAAATATCATTATATAACAACAAAAACCTATATGGCATAGGATTGGTATTTAATCAAGCAAACAAAATGCAGTTGCAACGAGGTATCTTCATGTTGATATCAATGATGTTTTGATAGGCGACTAGTTAGATAACAGTAGTGAGATTATGGAATGTTGAAATCAGTTCTTGTTGTATCTACTTCACACTGATACTATCTACAAGCTGAAACTTCATGCTCGCACTTTTCTGAGCATGTTTCCTCACCAATATATAAACTTTAGCCTAGTTGTACTGCAAATAGAAAAAAGGCAAAATGTGACACCATACTACTTCCAGGATGAAATTTTGTAATGCAGACAACAATATTGTCAGTGTCATCTTATTCGAAAGCAAAGCTCAAATAAGTTGTAGTCCAAATAACGAAGGATAATCATTTTCAGTTCAGATCTATCATTCATAAGTTGCTCTATCAGGATTCTAAATACCAGATTGATCTTTGGATCAATTGGCATCTTTTGATCAGCGCTTTTGCCCATAAAGTGATTTTAATCCAACAAATAAATCTAGCTATGTTGCTTTTGCCCATAAAGTGATTTTAATCCAATAAAAATGTAGACACCAAAATTAGTCAAGATTGATTACAGATTTCATTTAATAATTCAACATACCACACATGAAAATTATAGTTTCCATTCCACAGGAAAAATAATTTAGAAGTGGCTTCGGTGTGTATATGTATAATATAATCCTTGACTATCAAAATATACGGACAACATAGAAATGTTACCGTGGAGACATCTAAAATTGTCATCGATTTAGCCATTCAGCTAATGTTGGTACCACCACAAAACCAAGCAAGATCAGTTCAACAAAATGTCGAAATTGGAAATGCCTTTGTCCTTTATTAGCCATCGGTATCTAATTATTCATCTCTGCCAAGATTGTTCAGATAGTAGAACAAGTTTACGTCACACTTCCTCTGCCTCAACATCAAAGTTTCTTCACTTGTCTCTCTGCTAAAGAGCTTACTGTGCAATGCTACTATTAAGTATGCAATAAGTTGCAATTTGGTAAAGAGCACTAATATATGTTATGAATAATTTCTGTATATTCTTATCAAAATCATTTTGGTTTGATTCTGGGAAATATTGCATATATTTGATTATCTATTCTTAACCTAATCCTGAAAGCCAAAGTTCTTTAAGTTTTTCATTTGACTGTAGAAATGAGAACTATTGTCAGACAACTGAAGCTAACAGTATATTTATGAGACACCTTTCGATAATTATGTGTTATCTGCATTGTTATGGATACAATATTTCTAACTCTGTCTTCAAGCTTTAAGCAATGATGAAGGGTTTCTGCAGTGAAATGCAACAAATGTGTGATAGAACACAGCTGCAGAGGACTTCAAACTTCTACCCCAAAGAATACTGAACGAGGAATGCATAACACTGAGCAAAGATTGATAAGAACCAGCAATGGAGATCAAGCTTACCGGACATGATGTTGAAGGCGGATCGCCGCTCGTCCTTCGCCAACCCAGTAGGCCCAACCGACCCTGACCAAGCTGCCAGTATGTTAACTCCTGGTCCTATCAAGTCCGGCTTCAGCAGCTGCGGCACCACCGTGTTCGGCCCCCTGGAGCTGAAGGCCGCCACCACCGGGGATGGTTGCACGCCGAGCACTGTGCCCCGGAAGCTAAGCATTGCCGTCGGATTCGAGCTCGTCCTCACGAAGTCTCTAATCAAGTTCCCACTCTTCGCCCCTACGGCGACAGTCGGCAGCAGGTGGCTGTCCGCCACCAGCTCCTCGCCGTTGACAGCGGCGTTAGCCAGTATCATCCCCACGCCGCCGGCCTCCTTCACTACCTGCCCCTTCTCCACCCGCGCGTTGATTCCCCGGTCGCAGAACACCACCTTGCCCTTCACCTGCTCAGGGTCTAGTGTTCCGGGCATGCAGAATTTGCTGGAGTTGCTGCCCACCTGCACTCCTTTGCCGTAGACTATTGGAACCATTTGGTCCTCGAGCCCCGCTCCGCTGCAGAGCGACAACCCGGCGTAGCGCTCGCCGTTGCCCAATTGGACGGTGGCCGGGAAGTCCCTGTCTAGGGTGCCGGCGCCGACCGTGGTGATCCATGGCGCAGTGTTGGTGAGGGAGGAGGGGGAGGGCCCGCTGTTCCCGGCGGAGCAGGCCACGAAGATGCCGCGCTGCACCGCGGAGAAGGCCCCCACTGCGACCGGGTCCCGAGAGAACGGGGCGGAGCCGCCGCCGAGAGAGAGGGAGAGGACGTCGACGCCGTCCTCGATGGCCTTGTCGATGCCAGCGAGGATGTCGGAGCCGTAGCACCCGTTGGCCCAGCAGACCTTGTAGACGGCGACGCGCGCCCCAGGGGCCATGCCCCGGGCGACGCCCGAGGCGTAGCCCAGAAGGCTGGCGTTGGCCACTGGCGCGCCGGCGGCGGTCGACGCTGTGTGAGTCCCGTGGCCGTCGCGATCCCGCGGAGAGGCGTACTCCTCCCGGGGCTTGTCGGCGTCCCCGCCGCCAGCGGCGGCGCGGTACCCACGGCCGAAGCTGCGAGCGCCAACGAGTTTACGATTGCAGAGCGAGGAGGGGAAGTCGACGCCGGCCTCGCAGGCGCCGCGCCACCGTGAGGGGACCTCGGGGAGGCCGGCGTCGTCGAAGCTGGGGGACTCCGGCCAGACGCCGGTGTCAAGCACACCGATGACAACGTCGGTGGCGGCGGCGGCGGGGTCGAGGGAGTGGCTGCGGCTAGAGGGGGCGGGCGGCCACGGGGAGAGGCCAAGGAAGTGCGGGGAGCGGGTGGTGTGCAAGGGGAGGAGGGGGTCCGGGTGGACGTTGAGGACGGCGGGGTGGCGCCGGAGGAGGGGGAGTTGTTCGGGGTGGAGAACGGCGGCGAAGCCGTGGACGGCGGCGGAGTAGGAGTAGAGGAGGTGGCGGGCGGGATCAATGGACAGCGACCTCAGGTGGGCCTCGTACCAGTGCGCGTGCGTCGGATGGGCTTCCGTCCTGTGGGCCGCGTTCATGTACACTATGTAAGTCTGCTTGCATGCAACCATGCTTACTGTTGCCGCGAAGGAACTCAAGAACACCAGTAGAAGATAACAGACTGCTTCTTTCATGGTTGCAACTCAGCGAGAGATAAGAAGTGAAGGGTGTTGCTTCAGATATAAGGAGAGTGGTGGGAAGAAGAGAGGACAAGGGAAAGGATAGATGCTCTTGATTGGAAATGATGGTGTAGTGGTATGAGCTTGGATTGGGCTTCCGGTGCTGGAAATGGAATTCCAGTTGTAAGGATGTGAGAGAGAGAGAGAGAGAGAGAGGAATGCACTCTATTCCATGAAGCTTTCAGTGAGAGGGCTCAGAGAGAGAAAGAGAGGAATGTGCTCTATTCCATGAAGCTTTCAGTGAGAGGGATTTAAAGGCCTGAGCTGGTGTCCATGCTGTTGGATTCATACCCCAAAAGTGTCAAGACATGGGAGGGCGCTCAAGGAAAGGATAAAGCAAGGGAGGAAGAGAGAGAGAGAGAGAGAGAGAGAGAGACTGTGGACAACTGTGCTAGCAGTGTCCTGTTCATGGGGAGGACAAACTCGCAAGGAGGCCTTGTGACCAAGTTTTGTTTGCATGGATGACACCTTGTCCTCTCTGCCAGTCTCACGAGACAAGACTCACGCCACAGCTTTCGCCTCCTCACTTGGATTCTCACCCCAAAGACAATGACTCAATTGCCCAGAGAGAGTAAACTAGTGCGGCAGTCCGATGGCCATTAGAGACCAGATCTAGAACTGCATGCATCAGCAGACCCCAATACAATGAACTGATCACACAGACATATAGTAAGTGATTGAAGAGTACTTGTGTTGGAGAATACTATGGCAACTTCTCTTGCTTCCGCAGTCCTCAAAGTGCACATGATGCTTATAGAAATACCAAGTTGTGGATACATGCCATTGTTTTGCTCACAGTACATATGAATAGGGTGTGGAAGGTATGGATTTGGATGATACTGGTGCAGAAATATTTCCTCTCTCTCTCTCTCTCTGTATTCGAGCTTCACGCCGACTGCGCGTGAGCTTCGACATGGGGATCTGTCTCAAAACTCGAGCTTCACGTGAACACATCGCCCATGTAGCTTCTGTACATGGATGGTATACTTATTTTGGTATATGCATCGTCGTATGGTAACATGCATACCATATGCATGCATATGGTACATCCATACCATGAACACTTCATCCATCATCCATATGGTACATGCATACCATTATGTACCGTCGTCCACGCTTTGGTATACTTATTTTCTACCTTTCATACATGTAGCTTCTCTCTCTCTCTCTCTCTCTCTCTCTCTGCAACACTAACATCTTTTTCTGTCATAGTACACTCCATATACGATGAGCTTAATCAATCATTAAATTACTCTACTGAATCCACCAGTGATACTATTTTATTTTTGGAACTCTCATGAATAATCTAACCCTTCTTAGAGCTACATAATAGAAAGAAATAAATACTAGTAGATTGTACAGCGATAGTGGGTCTTCAAAGCCATGCAAGAATTCAGTACAAGAATTCAAAGCCAAAAGGGAAGACTGTGTTTCCTCATTCTCATAACTCATCCCATGAACTCAAGCAGATAATTTAGGGTTCTATGACAACACTGATGTGGGTCATCCCCCTTCATGGATGCAATCTTATAAGGGGTTTGAGTGCTCTTCTGCCTAACCATTCAAAAGCATGCCACATTCAAGAATTGTACAACACTACTGAGTGAGCATCATCATCATCTCTCTCTCTTTCTCTCTCATACAGAGAGACACAGTGCCATCCATCATCTAGTTTTTGAGTGGCAATATTGCATGTCTTCCTCAACCACCGAGAGCACCAAAGTGCCTTCTCCCTCCACTTCGACATGCTTACCGATTAAACAATTTGCTGTGGTAGATTAGTCACTGATAAGTTTGAATGATCAACGATTCATCACTGTTTTGATAAGCATCATTTTAGAAACTATCGTTATAGATGTCTCATAAATAACAATCATAAAAAAACATTTAGCGAAAGACAAACATCAGAAATATATTTGTTTTAATCTATATTTGTAACAAAAATTATTATTGTGGTTGTCATTTGCAACATCAAAATATCTGTTACAACGCATGTATGAATTATTATCCATCGTTACAAAAAATTCTAATTATATATTATTTTGACGATATTTATTACGATTGTTCTTAATCACTGAAATAGAATTTACTATGTTTATAAAGTATAGGGATATATAAGTAAACAAATTACAGGTAAAAAATATTTTCATTGCGTGCTCATAACTCATCCCATCATGTCGAACTCCACGGCTAGTTAGACTTTGACCACAGTGCGTGGGTCCTCCACCTACGTGCCACCCGACAGTGATGCATTTATAGCCCACGGGGAAGCTGTTGCAAAGACAAGCTTATGAGGACTCGGGAGAGTGCTCTCCAACCTATACATTCAAAAGTTGGTACCTCATTATTGATCTCTCTCTCTCTCTCTCTCTCTCTCTCTCTCTCTCACTCACTCACAGACGCACAGGGTCATCCATCATCCACTCTTGTTCTTGAGTGGCCTCTGGGTGGTGGTGAGTGAATGCATGCCATTTGTCAGCCACCACCATGAGCTCCCAGGTGTCATCTTCTTCCCCTCCAAAAAGCTCATTGATCAATCATTCTACACGTCCTCCATGAATTCATGGTTATGTCCTGCTGACATGATGATGAGGTCAAAGCTTCTGCCTCATCGCATGTATGGCTGTAGCTCTCCTCATTGCTCAATGGAGACCACTTTTGCCGCCCAAGCTGCTCCTTCCTGTTTGACTCACACAAACGAGATAAGAAAGAATCAAATGATTCGAAAGGGATCAGGAAAGTATTGACGTAAGATTTGAAATGGATTTGCACAGATGGAAAATCTTGTGTTTCCCAATAGATAACCAGCTTGGCCAAGCTCATCATGGTACTCTTCACATGTACAATTGCAAGGTTGGCGAACTGGAAATGGAGCTGCTTGTCCATACTGAGTTATTTGGGGTGGGAGACTGCATCAGAATCAAATGATTCCAGGAACAAGAAAGGAACATGATACGGCAAAAAAGAAGACTTTTCTTCTCATTTATATCACATGTGAACAGTACAACTCACATGACGAATAACACTCACATACAAGCTGTTTATCTAGCAATAGTACAGCAGGCAAACATGGTTTGATAAAGAAACCATGTTTTTTGTTCGTTTTTCTTCTCAATATATTTCAGTTGTTAAAGTACTGTTTACATCATAAAATTTATGCTCTTCATGGAAACACAGCGACCTCTAATGATAGCAAATAAGATTTCATACTTTGGATTGACGAGATCTTATTCATGAAAGGACAGCAGCAACTCTTTGATAGGCGGAGAGGGGTGTTGCTCGTTGGAGCTAGTGCAATAGTGGTGGAACTCGTGAACTTTGGAGGTCGTCTAATGGCTTTGTCGTCGGAGCTACAGCTTAAAAGGATAGAATGCGACAATGCAACAGTGGAGAGGAGTGGCAATGCGAGAACTTAGTTGTTGGTGGTGCTGCACTTGAGCCTGACGATGGATTTGACGGTAGCTCCAAAGTTAAAATCGTTGGAGGAAATAGCAACAGTCAATAAGGAAAGAAGGATAAACCTTGCTCTAAAATAGTAGAACTCTGATACCATGATAAGTTGAATTATAATGATAAAAGTACACTTGAAATGATTGAATACAATATCTTATTTAAACATGTTGGAAGAAAAGAATTTTCTCGACTGTCCAACGAAATTTCCTTACAGGAAATCTTATCTACTATCACCGATCTATACTACTGTTCGGATGTTTATTTCATAAATCGTATTGTATAAAAAAAAATGTCTTGAATAATTTCTTTCTCCTTGTCATGTGATTCACAAGCACCATAGAATATTTGGAGAGTACTTCATCTGCCATCCAGTCACATATGGAATATAAGACCTTAACAAGCCCATGGGTTGGTCTACTGCTTCCTCAGAAGTCAATTCACAGAAGCATGCATCCACTCGAGTGGATCTTGTCAACCACACCATGTAGCTTTATATCAATCCTAATAACAGGAAAGATCCACTGTCCAAAATTGCTCCAAAGTTGATAAATCTCAATCATTCAGAAGACTGATACAAAAGAGACATTACGCTGAAGTACTATTTCTATTCACTGAAATCATTAGTCATATATGATAAATTAGTCATATGCTAGTCCTTACTTCCTTTACTTTTCAATAAATATAGGATTAAATGTTTCTATCAGTGCTCATGATTTTTCGTGAAAATATTACTATCTAAACATCACCACACCAACCAAGGGTTAACCTGACTTGATCTTCTTCCAAAGGCACAAGATCATTGAGGTGTCCATTATGGTGGTTAGGGTGAGGAATTTAGTGTTGAGGATGGGTTGACCAAAGTGAAATAAGCTTTGCTCTCCTTAGGTCCCGCACAAAGGTCAAAATCGGGGGGAGGGGAAGAGATTTTTCTAACTTGATCGCTCCAATGATTTAGTTTTTATAGAATGATCAAAATAGAAAAGGTTTTGGGTCTAGGGTTTAATCCCTGTTCAAATATCGGGGATCAATTTTTATACCTGGGAAGTTAAGGAACCACGACTGAAGGGTGACAGTATGCCCTTCTATGGTTCATTTATGTAGATAATTGATCCGTATGACCTCTTATGACATGTCATCAGCAAATGATTATGGAAGGGGTATCGCTTGTCAGCCCTGATAAACACGCCATGGGCTAGCTATCGCTCATAGGGGTGAACCAAGGTGAGGTGGGGTGCAGGTCAACTCGATCGCCCGAGAATTACTACCCTCGAAGATTAACCTGTTCTGCTCCCCCATGAGTTATGATATATGGTGGTCGATAAGTCGTTGCGCGGTTGTCGATCGCGGGTGAATAATGTAAGGCTCATGGCTTTCATGTCAATTACTCAATGGTGGTGTCATAGCACTGTACGTGCATGCTTTTTGCTCATGTCTCAGTGGACATCTCCACCATTTCCCAGATCCACGCTCAGTTGAAAGACTCGTACCAGTTCTTGGAACGGATCATTTCAGTTCGCCCAAGTTGGATAAGCTCCCACGATACCTTCGTCCGAGGCCACATCCATCAATCACCCACACCAACCGCGCGGATAAAGCCAAGCTGGCCGGCGACGTGATGCCCGCAGACGTGGTGCGCTCCTGCTCCATAAACGAGAAGGCAGGAGATAACGCAGGGAGACCTTTCGTCGAGCACCTTGATTGTGAGACTCGATGAACAGCTCGTGAGCTAATTGGCATTTGGAATGGAATCGTCCTTGCTGTGATTTGACATCTCAACGCCGTTGGACGTTCTCCAATTCTGCCAGCGCGCACCGAACGCCTGGCATCCCGCGTTTCAGGAATTCTGGCATTAGTCCACGTGATTCTTATGGATGTTGACATGACATTCTCATCTTCGTACTAACATTTCTATCACCGAAGTATCTCGTAAAATTACCGACTCTTTAATTTTGATGGATGTTGATAAAAGGTTTTAGCATACCATATCAATCCTCAAATATTAAATCAATCTTAAATTTAAAAGCTACTATGATAATCAGTATAATTTCATTATGAACTTATGGAACAAATATTAAATTTGCAATGCTAATTGCTGATAGGGGATCACTTGGTCTATCTCAGTGCACCTTGGGGGTGCGAGGGATTGTCCGCTTTGGGCGTGATAGCGCCAAAGGGTTTTGTCCCTTCAGAGCGCTTGGAGCTCTGAAAGGCACCTCTTGGAGGGGAATGCCCGTCCAGCCCAACAGGTAGAGATCGTGTGGGGGCGTTGAGAGGTATTATCCGCTTTGGACATGGGAGCGCCAAAGGGTTTTGTCCCTTCAGAGAGCTTGGAGCTCTGAAAGGCACCTTTGAGGGTAAGGGAGGCACGACTGCATTTGGCGCCAAAAATATTGATGGATTGATGTGCCGTGGTTGATAGAGTCAGCACGGCCTGGTCCACTGGGTAATGTCGGGAGTCTCTGGTCGGTTGAGCCGGGTTTCGAGATCGATCGAACACCACTTTCAGCATCGGCAATGGGGATTTGATGAGCGCCTTCTAGCCTGCGATGACAGCTTTCCTGCAAAAAAGATCGTCGTCGGGTGTTTCCCGACTTTGGTCCCTCCGACGATCAAGTTAGTGGCGGGTTGGAGTTTTTTATTTTTCTTTTCTCCTTCTCCCCCCCTGGTCGGGTCCCAGCCAGGTGCTTTTATGCTACTGTATGAGGATCGGTCGTACGTAGGCATAGTGGCCGATCCTTAGGAGGTGAGGCAGTACCTTCGTGCGTGGAGGTGCCCCTCTTGCTTACCTGGCTACAGTACTACGTGGCATCCCCTCGTGACGTGGCGTGGACCCATAATATACCTTATCAACTGCATCTTCTAAGAATGTAACAAATGAATACTAGAGATTTTGTCGGAGGCACCTTGGATGTAGTCTTTAATAAATAAAGGATGACATTCTCATCCTTTGCATCACATCGTTTCAAGAGGAACTACATTTCTTCTTCTACGTGCAATAATATTCAAAAATTGATGATACGTTGATAGTCAAAATTCACCTAATAAGTATGAATTACTGACTCAAAATACTTAAACTTAAATTAATAATAATTATCCAAATCAATTCAATTATTTTCTTATCTTAGATATAATATTAATTTTAATATCAATTTCTTTGATATTGATAGAGGAAACATTTATCTCAATCCAAACTCGGTAAGGAGAATAGAAGACAAATGTTAAGAGAATATTTGGTATATACCTTAAAATATTCTCTCTAGTTAAATTAATCATAAAAACCCTTCATATCATAAACTAGAGTGTTAGATAGGCTACATCGGGAACTTCACCTAACCTTAGTCACTGAGCAAGGTTCGAATCTCCTTTTCGACTATGTCAAACTTCTTATGCATGTGAACCTAACTGAATCAAGTCAATTTGGCCATTACCGACATCTACCATATCATTTAGCATTAGAAGAAGGGCTCATGTTATAAGAACGTCATCCTATTGACTCGCCAATGAGTGCTCGAGCGATGATACTTTACTATCGATCCACAATATGACTAAAATGACCTAAAACATCCCAAAATATGATGCATATTTTACAAACATAAGCGCCTCTAAAGCATGACGTATCCTTTGTAGACAAAAATATTGAAAGCATCCGATGCATATGATACGTCCTTCGGAGATAAAAATATCCCAATGTCCAACATATTCTTTATAGACATAAGTGTCAACGGTTTTACAATTGATTGAGATACTCATCCACTATAGTAAACTTCTCAATGGTGTTACAATTCAAGGGGTGTTGTCTCTTGTGTTACTCAATGCACCCATTTCGAGCTAAGTGTTAGAAGTTGCTCGATGCATCGATAATGAACGTGCTAAGAGAGCTCTCAAATTATACCGACAAGGGGAGGGGTGTTTGGGCAAATAATAAAAAAAAATATTCACTTTAATCAGAGCTTAACACATGACATAATAGCCCTTGAGTTAAACATACTATAAAAAAAATTCATATTACATAAATTGAGTTCAATTACTATTTACTCAAAACTCTCACTTTTCATTCTGGGACTCGTTAAAGCATCGAAGGGATCATATTGAAAATTATATCCAACCTCAATCTATGTATAGGTATGACCATTAAGCAAGTGTCTAAGTTCTCCACAACAATCGAATGAGTGTTTGAACCTTATTTTCATCCATATCATATTTTTTATATAGGTAGGTTTGAACCTGACCCGAATCGAACCGATTCAATCATTATCGATATCTACCGTATCAATATCTACTATGTATTCTTTGATTAAATTTGGTTAAGTTCAAATATACATTTTTCTTTAGTTGGTTTTGGACGAATACAAATAGAATAATGGATACTTGATTGAGTCGGGTATGGATCGAATTCAAGGAATTAAGCGAGTTGGAAGAGAAAGGTCACGTGCCTTGCACGCTCGTGCGTGGAGCCGACTGCAGGCACACGTCACGGGGACTTCTCCCGCCCGCAAGTGATCACGAGGGGTAGAGACCAGATCCACACCGTTGATCAGAGGATGCACAGATTGAATGAAAGGATCTACCTTTAGTGTACGGTTCCTCCTGCTGCCATCGATCACGGAAGGCCGACATCTCATCACCTGTGGAGCCGACTGCTGAGAGCGTGGTATTGTCTGCTAGATCGTTCGAGCGAGACAGTGAGCTGGATCTGCCTACGTGGGTGTTTGCGCGCGATGGGCCGCGTCGAAACAATTCTGTTTCCTGTCCGACATGTTACAGGGGATCCGAACGAGCGACAGCTGGCTATATCTCCACGTTTAAAGTCATCGTCGAGCGCCAGGTCAATAGTGGACAATCCCGTCGGACATCCGGTGGACCCCTATTTGGTCCCTTCCCTTTCCCAACGATTGGCGGGCGGGTCCCACGGGCCTGGTCAATAGAAGTCAAATAATAAAGCCGCACCGCATGTCTTCCCCCCAAAGCCCCGCTCGCTCTCCCTCTCTCTCTCTTTCGATCGCTCGTCATCGAAGGAAGCCAAAGAAGAGAGAGCACGCACGCGAAGATTCCGAAGGAGAACGCTCTCCCGTCGCACAATCCGAAGTCGGCCCAGTCTCTGCGAGCGAGAGGGTGAGCGAATTGAGGGAGGACTCCCGTCCTGAGATGTCTTTGGCCGAGTGGGGGAAGCGGCGGTGGTCCTGGTCGTAGCAGAGAGGGAAGTGCAGAACGCCTCCATCGCGTGGGAGAAGGAGCGATAACCCAATCCGTTGACTTCTTTTTATCCTCTGTCCCATACTTTTGCCTCCTTTGCTCCTTTCCACCGTTCTCGGGTTCCAGTGGCTGCTCTCGGAAGAACGGTAGGGTTTTTATCAAGTTATCGCTTTGGAATCGAATCGGTGGTTATAGATCGGTTTTTTTTTTTGGGATTTGAGCTACGTGCTTTCGGAGATGTCGACGAAGGTGCGGAACGGCGACGCGGGTGACGCGAAGCCGGAGGTCGTGTGGGCCACCTGCGTGTGCTGCGGACTAATGGAGGAGTGCACGTCGGCTTACGTCGCGCGTGTGCGCGAACGGTACGGGGGCAGCTGGGTATGCGGCCTCTGCGGTGAGGCCGTCAAGGACGAGATCCGCCGCTCCGGCCACCGTATCTCCACGGAGGAGGCCCTCAGCCGCCACATCAGCTTCTCCGAGAGCTTCCGCTCCGCTTCCCCACCCATCGACACCGCGGAGCACCTCATCACCGCTATGCGCCAGCTCCTCCGCCGCAGCCTCGAGTCGCCGCGGGCGATGCGCTCCACTCCCAACAGCCCTCAACGTGAGGCTGAGGGGGAGGACGGCGCCGTGTCCTCCGACGCCGCCCGTCGCTCGCTCGCACGGTCCGGGAGCTGCTTCTCGACTCTGTCTCGCTGATTGAACCAAATGGGACAAAGCCCTCAGCCAACAAATCTCAAGGTAAAAGTAAAAAACCATCATTGGGACAGGAAATCAATTAAATGTCACTATTTAGATCTCGAACAATACCCATATATCTAATTCTTAGACAATTATGTTTACCTTACCATTTCAATCAAATCAATGCAACCAATGCAGAGAGAACATGACGAAAATCATTCTTTTCCACAAAAAAAAGAGATAAAACAATAAAATCTTTGCTAAATTGATTCTCTGTGCAGTTAGTATTACTGTATGGGATTTTGTTGATCGCCTCTCTGCATGCTATTTATCATGTGGTTCTTGGTGAAGGGAGTAATGCCTTTTATGTAAATATCACACAATTTGTGTTCATAGATGTTTCAGTAAGTTCCAAAAGTTTGATTGATGTGGATGTGGAGATCTTGGAAGTATTCGGTTGGACAGGGAAGATGTTTTGTTGTTTCTGCTTACTGTGACAAGTAGGTGGGGGAGGCTTGTCACATTTGGACCATGGTCTGGTAAGTTGTTTTACAGGTTATTATTCACATGTTACTTGCTTGATAATGTGATTTCTAGCTAAGTAATGTATGATTTCATGCTAATCCTATTAAGCCAAATCCATCAACCACACACAAACACACAGAGAAAGAAATAGTTTATCAACAGAACCAAGTTTTTTCTTAGTCCTTTCAGAGAAAAACTGCTTATGTGCCTCTCTACAGTTTGGGGAGGATTTTGTTGCACAAAAATTGTAGAATGTTCTATATGCAGCATGCACAACTTATGATCTGAAATTACTGGTTACCTGTACATCTGTGTTTCACAGGACATATGAGTATTTATACATTTGGGAGGATAAATGTAGAGACTTTCTGAACATTGCAAGGTATTTATAGAATTGACCCTTCTCATTCTATGCAGATCTTTAGCACAATCCTGATGGTTGGTGAATTATCTTTAGGTTGTGATATTAGTTTTTACACTAATGCAAGAAGAACCAATTCTTCTTGACAGGGCTACTGAATTGTCTTTTAGTATGTACAACTCGAAAGATCTGAAACTTATTAGAGACATGCACTTCCAGAGGTATACATCTGTATTCACAGGACATATGATTTTTTTGCATTTGAGAGGGGTGTATATGAAACTTTTGAACATTGCAAAGTATCTATATAATAGACCCTTTTAATTCTATGCAGGTCTTTAGCATAATCCTGATGGTTGGTGAATTATCTTTAGCATAATCCTGATATTTGTTTTTCACATTAATTTCCGAGTTTATGGGGAAATGCAAGATTTTGTTAAGCTTCATTGTTTGGATGTCTAGCCAAAAACAAAAAGAGAAGAAATATAAGAACCAATTCATATTGACAGATTAATTGGAGGAGTGTTATCAGCAGCAGAGTTTATGGATAGACAGCTACTAGAGGAGAAAAAATATGGTCATATACTTTATCTCAAATATGAGCTACATGAATGAATGGGAGGCTATAAAGAAGCAAAATAAAGCATATAGTTGAAGGAATTATGTAGCAAAAGAAAATGCAATTAGCTGAATTCTAGCAACCAAAGAGTTTATTTCTTGACTTAGCAGTATAGTTTGTAAGAGGTTTATAAGGAGATAATGAGAGACATTATGGAGAGAAGTGTGATTTCCATCAGACAAACCATTAGGGTTCAATGTTTCTTCTTCCATGATACTATGCATTGGTGTTTGATGGCTGTCTCATTTGAATGCCAGTTGACAATGCTTCTCTTGGTCATGGAAAGCAGGAAAAATGAGGTCTGTTCATCTTTTTGTGGCCTTCTGATGGATATCCAATATTGCTGGAAATCCAAGTTGAATCAAACTTGTTTGATCCCAAAACTATATGAGGAGATTCAAAGAATCTGTTGTGGTTGATGTCCGAATGATAATAATTTTTTTTGGAATTGAAACAACAAAAAAAAGTGTATTCTAATTAGTTTCAGGATAGCACATTGTAAATGAAAATTGCAATATATATATATATATATATATATATATATATATATATATATATATTGCTAAAGAACATACAGCTAGATTAATCAATTGTAATCTAAATTAAGTTTGAACATCTCAATATCAACTCTATAAACATGAAATGTTCAGTTCTTCAACACCTATGCCTATGCTATAATGATTCCAAGAATTACCATGTGTGATTCTGCTGCATCTTCCTCGAGCATTGCCTTATGAATTTTGAATGATTTATCGGATAAATCAAAACTAATAAAAATTACAATTAAAATAAAAGGTTTTTCTTCTGCAATCGTCCAAAGAATTCTTTCTCTTTTCGTTCGAGAGTACTTACCTCTTCGTTATCCTAATTGAAGATGGATCTACACACACACACAAAAAGAGTTGGGTTCTGGATTAGTTAGAATATGGTATCTATATCGAATTGATCTTATTAAATTGAATATAATATTTGTTTATCATGTTTGAAACAAATATGGATTATTTGACAGGTTATTAGGTCGGAATTAAGACAGATTCATATAATCAAGTAACTAATAGGGTTAAATTGGCAGGGCAATGACACCAATTATAATCAAGTAATGCACAAGACGCCAAATATACCAGCGTTATATAGTATATAACGGGCATGTTCATGGCGGCCCTCATTATATTCGTCGATCAAAATTCAAATAATTAAGTAATTAATCGAGAACAATTAAAATGAAATTGGTGACCAAGCGCACCAATTTAATCTATTTTTCGGATTCCATTAATTCACACGACCCCGCGGATGTACCAGCGTTATGTATGTCGTACATAACGGATATTATTATATTATAACAGCGTTAAAATAATATAACGGGCAGCGTTGTTAGGGCCCTTCGGCATACTACTGAAATGACCGAATCACTCTTCCATTTGATTCGTCTTTCGATATAAAACCCTTCTTCGCCACGGAAACGATCGTCGCGCGTGGTCTCTTTGGTGCCCTCTTCCAGCCATCTCCTTTGATCATTCTACTACCCAATTGGTATTCCGCCGATTGGCGCACCTATTGTCCGTTCTTCCTGCGTTGCAGATTGAATTTTCTTGTGATATTTGTGCACAGAGGTTGAATCTTTAGGTGAGATTTGTATGTTGCAGCCAATGCGGCAAATGGCGACTCATTTTAATGCTTCAGATTGTAATTCTCAGTTAAAGAATGAATGCCTTCTTATTGAGATGATTCGTAGATTTTCAAAGATGCTACAGTAAGAAACATCACTAGGGTTTGTTTTTTCCTTCTCGCTTCAAGTTTTATCTTTTCTCTATGCATTTAATCGTTGAGGTTTACGGTAAAAGGGAAACGGGAAACGGAGCAAATGCTGGTCATGGCCCAGCAAGCTTTGACTGAGAAGATTTCATAGGCATTATATTCTCTTTTTACTTTTTCTTTTTTTCCTTTAAGGAATCACAGGTGGACGAAAAAGTATGAGCGAAGAACACTTCTATGTTTCAAGAACTCAATCCACACTCTTGGAGATGTTGCAACAATGTGCTCAAATGATAATACTTAGACACCTCTCACCGAATATTCCTGATAGATTGATGTTCTTTTGGTGCCTTCATTTGATAGCTTAGCCAGATAACAAGGCACCCTGTTAGGCTTTTGTGTTGCGCCATTAAGGTTGGATGTTTTATTGATAATATTATTATCCGTAAAGCTAGTGGAATTCAGTTCTTTCTTCTCAGTGTGGAGGTCTCACTAGACGAAGTCCATAATCTTTGCTCATCAATCTCTGCATAAATCTCTATGTTCAATTTGATTTATTTTGTACACGTGACATAAATATTCGATGCTTCCAAATGTGTAGTCTTCCTGTTACTTAAAGTGCACCTGTTTATTGTTAAATTGGGTTTCACGAAGTTGGTGTGCATTATGGTCGAAAAGTTTGACTGACATACATGTCCAAGTTATGTGGACATTCTGAAATAAATATGTAAATTGATATTTATATAGAGTTCATTCTCTGGTCATGCAGCTTGTAATGAAGAAGTCAATCCTTCCTGTGAAAAATGAGAAGGGTTCTGGAACTAAAATTCTTGCAAAAGAAGATTTACAGAAGCTTCTAAAACATTATTTTGGCTACTCTGAGTTCAGGGGAAAACAGTTGCAGGCCATTAATGCGGTTTTGTCAGGTAGCTAGATCTGCATTTTGTTTATGTTGTTTCATTGGTATATTGAGAAATGGAAGAATGCTTGTTTTTCACTGATGTTATTACACAAAGATTGGTAGCTTGTGCATAGGGATTCCATATCCAAAGTCCTGTTGTTATGCATGCAGGTTATTACCTTTTAATTCTGAAATGTAGGGAATTACAATGATACGACAACAGATTAATCAAGGATAATTAATATAGACTAAATAATTGTGTGCAAGAGAACATGAAAGGCTTTGACGAAGGAAGAAAAATTAAAGGATACAAATTGGAAGGGAAAAGTTATATGATAAGGCTAAATGTTATAGTCCTTATGACATGGATTACGAATAGTCTACCATCTGAATGGTGTGTAACAAATGACTAAGATGTATAAAAGCTAGCAACTGGAATCTCTGTTGATCCTGAAATGAATACAATTACAACTGTAATTTGCGTCATAACTGTGGTATTTAAAGTTATTCCAGATGAAGGGTCATGACAAGCATACTAGGATTCCTTTTATGATAAACACTACAGCTTTCTTTATTCCCCATCTACCATCTGCAAACAAATATTTTTGCTAAGGGTCATATTAGTTATGATTCTCAGAAGAACAAAGTAAAGTAGAAAAGATTAAATCCATAGATTAGATTTCATTATCAACTTAGTCAATTCAAACAAGAATTAGCTATGTGAGTTAATTTTGATCCAATTTTGACTCAAGTAAACTTAGAAGATATAAAAATTAATTTAGACTAATGCAATTCCATTTTACCTTAACATTAGGCTCAATGAGATCTAAATCTTGATTCAACATAGGGCCCAAAGTACTACAACAATAAAGCTATAAAGTCCCAACTATTTGGATTGGTTGCGTGGATCTTTTGCCATCATTGAGATCAGTAAAGAGTCATATGTTTAGTTAATAGTATCTAAATCTTTATTATAGTTTCTATTAAAATCTTATTAGGTCTTCATTGATCTCTCATCATATACCACTAATAGTAGTAATTTCATCTCTTCTAACTATCACATATATAGTTATTCTATACCATCTTAAACAATTCTCCCTCATTTTATCTTCTATTAAAGTGATACATAATCGTTTAAAAAAAATACAAATATTTTTTTTCATATCTTTTCTAGGAGCTGCAGACATTCACCACACCACAACATTCTCATCTCAACGACATATATTTTTTTTATATGTTGTTTCTTAACTAGTCAACATTTAGGTCTATAAAGCATTGTTAGTTTAAAAACTATCTTATATTATTTTTTTATGAACCTCAAAGGTATCTGATGATCATACAAGAATCATTTTAACTATTCTATTTTTATTCTACGAATAATATCTTCATTGATCTCTTCATTTTGTAGAATAATTAATCCAAGATACCTAGAGCTTTTACTTAATGAAATTTCTTTCCCATTCAACTTAATTATATCCTTCTATCTATTCTTAGTAGTACTAAAATTCCATCTCATATATTCTTAGTGCGTGACTCAAGTTTAGTATTAATTCGTTCTATACTCTTATAAATCATGACAATATCATCAATTAGAAAAGATAGAGACTTAATGCGGGTCCTTGATGTAGTCCTATACTAATAGAAAACTCACTAGACAAACTTCTTATAGTTCTAATAATAGTGACTACATTATTATATATATCCTTAATAATGTTAATATAATTTTTAATATAATTAGTGGATACAAATTTGTTTTCTAAAGCCCATAATAATAAATCTCTAGTAACTTTATCATAGGCTTTTTCTAAATAAAAAAATATAAGTCTTTCTTTTCTCCTTATACTTTTATATTAATTATCTTAGTAAATAAATAGTTTCTATTGTTGATCTTCCAAGCATAGAACTATGTTGATTTTCAAAAATATTTGTTTTAAATCTTATCATATTTTCAATAACTCTTTCCCAAAGTTTTATAGTGCAAATTATGATTTTAATTCCTTTATAATTAGAATGATTTCACACATCACCCTTATTCTTGTAAATTGGCACCAAAAATCTCTTCCTTTAATATCTTTATAAATCTCAAAATTTTATTAAATAAGTTAGTTAACCAAGATATTCTTTGATCTCCTAAACTTTTCGAAACCTTGATAGGGAATTAGGGATACCATCAGATCTCACACTCTTAGCTATTTTCATCTTTTTTTAAGGCATAGTTTAGCTCTAATTTTACGAACAAATCTATGATTACTAATCTACCACTATTATATATCGTTAAAGCTAAATCATTTGTGGAATATTGTTAAATAATTTATAAAAATAATTTCTACATCTTTCCTTAACTGTGTTTATAAAAGAATAAGATCTCTATCTTTAATGCATCTAGTGTTATCTAAATCCTTACACTTTCTTTTCTTAGTTTTAGGAATTCGATATATATATATATATATTCCCATCTTTATTACCTAATTTATTATATAAATTATCTTAAGTTTCGTATTTTGCCATACTAACACTATTTTAGTCTCTTTTTAAGATTCTATATATCTTTTAAATTTCTCCTCACTTTTATAATTCTATCAATCTTTAAAGCATGATAGTTTAATAATAATTACTTTTTGAACTTTCTCACACCGTCGCCAACTCTCACTTAAAGTTATACTTCTAATCTTTAGCATAATCAAGAATCTCCTTTGTTAAGCTCTTAATAATATTAGCCGTTGTAGTCCAAATAATATTAATATTATCTCATTTAAGTTTCAAATCATCTTTCTTTTCATCTTATTCTTAAATATTTTTATATTATTATCTTTAAAATTCTACCATCTAGTCTCTATAAATTTTTTATTAACTTTTTCTTCTTTCATTTTCTTTGACAAATATCTAATACTATCAACTTATGTTAATTCATCAAGCTTTCGTCAGGCAAGGATTTTAATTTCGAATAATACCGCCCGTATCGGGCGATATTGTCGATTGGGGCTGCTTATGTCTCGTTACCACCCTAAATTGGTTGGTGACGGTCAGTGATTACAATAGGTGCTCGGGCGCTCGCCTAGGCGCTTGGGCAAGGCGAGGCCCGAGCGCCTCGCTTCATTTCCAGGCGACGCGCTTCAAAGAGACGTCGCCTCGGCGCTCGCTCGAGCCCAGGTGCCGAGCGCTTCGGGCGAGCGCCTGGGTTAAACCAGGTGACCAAACTAGATTTTTAGGTCTGGTTGGTCTTCGGTGATTTAGTTGGTTCGTCGGTGCTTTAGTTGGTTCAATCGAACCAACTAAATCACCGATATCAAGCTCCCTCTCGCGATTTCCTCGACTTCCCCAACTCTAACACTCGCGATTTTGCCGCCTAGATTTCTTCTCCGCTGTCGCTGCTCTCTGCTGTCGCTGCCACCGTCGCTGCTTGCCGCTACTGTTGCTACTCACCGTTGCCACAATCACTGCTCGCCGCTGTTGTCGTCACTCCCGCTGTTGCTCGCCGCTTCGCTGTCGCTCGTCGCTCGCAGATCCCGCTGTCGCTCGTCGCTCTCGCTGCTGCCGTCGCTCTCGTTGCCGTCGTCGCTTCCGCTCCAGATACCATTGTCGTTGCCTCAGCAACCTCGGTCTTCTCACACTCTTCTCACTATACTGTTAATAGTTTATTAACAGTATACTGCTAACTGTATACTAATAATAGTATTTTTATTTATTAGATTAATAATATATTATTTTGATTTTAATACTATTAATTTTTATTTATTTAAAATTATTGTTGGGTTTTCAGAATAAATGTCAAGTATACAGAGCAACTCAATAGATTTGATGTAAAATTTTATTGTTTTAATTTTTGAGACTTTTTTTATTAATGTGACATTGTGATTTTGTACCTGATTTTCTTAATTTAATAGCATATTTTTTATTTAAATAATTATATTTATTAATTATATTATATATTTTTATATTTTAGTGTCTCGCTTCGCTCGGGCGAACGCCTAGCGCCTCAGGCGTTTTTGGACCTTGGTGCATAGCGCTTTTTAAATAACTGGTGACAATCGATTTCGTTCGTCGCTACGCGTTACTAGGTGGTATTAGCTGAGGGAGAGCGAGGGAGAAGAGAAGGGAGAACCTGGAGATCCGGCGCCGCTCTCCCTCGACGATCCCTATCCATTGTCGCCTTCCCTCACCAAACGTTGTAGATGAGATATCGCCTCCTCCTCGTCTGCGACAAGGCCTCGGCGTAGTCGACGACTTCTCCTCATCCACGCAGGGAGAAGAAGCCTCAACAACATCACGGGGACGTTTCTTCTCCCCACGTGGACAGAAGAAACGAGGCGGCGACGTAAACTCGTTGCCTTTTTTTGCACGGGGAGAAGGGAACCTCGGTTTCTTCTCCCCACATGGGCAGATAAAGGAGGCGATGTCGCCTTTTTTCTTTTAACATATATATATATATATATATATCGAGCGGTATGGTACGAAATTATGATCCTTGTCAGCAGGTATAATTTTACATTTCTTACATATACTTTATTTAACTTTCTAGTGAGAAAATATTTTAGCTGATTATAATTGGTAGTTTGGTACCACTCTTATAAATAATCAAGTATTCATCTCTCTTCTTTTATATACAATTATGATATCATATGAAGTGGCACAAAATCCAAGATTAGACCACCCTCTTCATTTCTCTCCCTGTGACCAAGGCCGCTTGTACCTCTTTAAATCTACTATACAATTTTCCTACAAGACTATTCAAATCTCCTCCCATCATAAGTTCTTCAGTTATAGATATTTGTCGAATGCTATAATCTAAGTTTTCCTAAAATTCTCTTTTGGTTTGATTATTTAGTCCAACTTCAGGGATTTAACTTTTAGCATTCAAAACAGGTTTTAGAACTATATTTCTATCTTTAATATTTTTACATCTATAACTTAAGAACCTTATAAACAACAATTTCTATACCATTTTTGTGTTTAACTTTATCAAAAAAATAAATTTTAAATCTAATACCATGAATCATTTTGGACTTTTTTCCTACCCACTTAGTCTTATAAGCAAATAATGTTTATTCTTCTTGCGGTAATAATCCTACCAACTCTAGTCCCTTACTTGAAAGTGTTCATATATTCCATGTTGATAACTTAATCCTCTTTTCTTGGGCTAACTTTTTTATTCACATTGGTCTGAAATAGTGAGAGATTCTTACCCTACTTTGCACCACATTTGAAAATCGATGTGATGGTTGCTTTTGGACGACCTCCTAGCTCATCGTTTTTCAGACACCAGATGGTGAATGTGCCTCATGTCACTTTCGTATGACGACTTAGCCCTATATTGAAATTGGTTAAGATCCATGTTCATGAGATTTGAAGAAGTTTTATGCTGATGTTGTCAGTAACCTAATACAACCCTCCACCTTTTTCATCTGAATTTAGGACCAACATTGGTGGTGTTAACATAAAGACCCAATGTGATATTCAATATTTATTTATTTTAGTCATATGTGCAAATAGACACTTCTTTTTTTAATAATCATGTCCTTGTATTCAATTTTTATTTAATTGTTCTGATCATTTTCATGGTTCTGATCACTAAATTTTTATGAAAACCAATTCTTAGACCTCATGCAATGAGATGTCACTGGGATTGGACCACACTCTGCTCCTTGATGCAACAACTATTCTGTACCTTGATCAACTAGGATTTTTTCATTTGACAAAGTGACCTCAAATTTTTAGCCACTTGAACCGTCATGATATAATAATTTGTTATAGTGGAGCATTGTAGGAAGAATAATAGAACTCTCAAACCTCGTATCTTGCGATGTCATTTAGTTAAGTACCATGGCCAACTTAGTTTCTTTACTGAGTGCTCTCAGATTTGTAGTCACTTGAATCATCGTGATTAGATGGTCCATGGACATCGAAGAAAGAATAACAAAATTAGGAGGATAAAATAGGAATCAAATGTGAAATTCAGGTAATGAGTTATATAGGAGAACACTTTTTGCAAGATTATTTAGCTTGCTCTGATACCATTTGAGACGCAAATGTGACCTACTTAAAGACCTGTCATATTTGAGCACTCTAGAGTGTAGAGTCCATAATTGTATTATTGATTGACCTTACAGGAAGGGACTGTTTCTGTCTCATGCCAACTGGAGGAGGAAAATCTATGTGCTATCAGATTCCAGCAGTAGCAAAACTGGGCATTGTGCTTGTGATCTCTCCCTTGATTGGTAAATGCTATATGTCCGTTGCACAATTTACATAGGCTACTGGTAGCTCAAAAAAAGCTAATTTTCTTATTTTTGGTACTCTATCTGACAATTTCTTGTTGATCTTTTCATTTCATTGGTGCAGCACTGATGGTAAGCATGGCCACTATTCTTATTTATTCCAATTTTAACATTTGTTGTGACTTAATCTTTGTTTCCATTCATAGGAAAACCAGGTTGAAACCTTGAGGAAGAAAGGAATTCCTGCTGAGTTTCTCTCCTCTACACAGGCTGTGCATGTTAAACAGAAGGTAAAGAATTGCATTACACATTCATCTTTAAGTCGGCTATTTTCATGGGTACCTCTGTTTTACTGTAGTCTATTGTCATTAAAGCTGTTTTATCATGTTTCAAAGTGTACAGGAACTGTAGTTCCTGAGGAAGAAACTGTATAAGATTGTCATCGGTCTTATGACTAATTGCCAGTACCTAGCTATTTCAGTCTTGGGCTTTATGTTACAGTGTTTAGAAGATTTGAAACTGAGACAAATCTATGTGAAATTCCTATTTTTTGATGAATTTATTATTCAACAAATTGGATAAACATTAGTTTTTAACTCCTATGTGGCTGTGTCTTTGTTCAGTCATTGACTGCCACTCTTCTGTTTTTCTAATTATGTTCACCAATGATTGTGTCTCCGATTTGTTTTTTGTTTTTCCAACTTGGCATTGTGCTTATGTCAAGAAGGTTGTGATAACATGTCATGTCCTATAAATGGAAAAAATTGCAAGTGAAGGTATGAGAAGTTTTATTGCTAGAAGTTACATAAACCACACAATGATGCATCATGTGGGGAGCAGTATGATGAGTTAATCTGAATACTTTTCATGGGTTGCAATAGGCAATGTTGTTGCATGCTCATTAATTATTTTTTTATCAGTACCTTTGTTGGACCCCGTAATATGAAGAAGATTTTTTCTGGTTTCTATGCTTCAGACAAACAAGCTTTAGATATTTTGCAACATTTAGGTATTCATCCTAATTTTAGAATTTACAGTTCTCTTATGTGCATCTACTTGATGTGTCTGTATGTTGATAGCGATATTTGTTTGTTTTCTTTTATGGTGATGATAGGACTTCAGAAATCTATGCAATAGTAATCTTAAGCTTTCAAGATTTTTCTGGTAACCATTTGAAATAAAAATAACTTACCAGGCTCATACGGTTGAGTTTCTAAGAATACAACTTTTATGTTGATATTAGTGAATATGATTGGTGAAGCATAATTCCAGAAAATCATTCACAATAAGTTTTACTTCATTTTCTATTTTAAGACATCTTTTTTGTTGCTGCTCTCCAGATCCATGAGGACCTAAATTCTGGAAAGCCTTCTCTTAGATTGTTGTATGTGACTCCAGAGTTGGTGGCAACTGTTAGTTTCATGGCCAAGCTAACAAAGCTTTATGATAGAGGGCTCTTGAGTCTCTTTGCAGTAGATGAGGTTTGAAAATTCAGTATTTAATTGGACTTCTATTACTTTGTAGCTTCTAATTGTTGTTTGTGACCCTTACCTACCCATTCTATATGTGTTCAGGCTCATTGCATTTCATCATGGGGCCATGATTTCAGGTTAGTAATAAATATCATCAACCTGGAGTACTGCATAGTGATTATTCTACTTATTAATCAAGTTTTGAAGAATAAGAATAATATTCAAAGTCTAGAATAGCCTACTAATATTTTTATCATGCCTGCTTACTTGAAATGCAGGCCCAGCTTTCGCAAATTATCTTCTTTAAGGAGCCATTTTCCAGGTGTTCCTATATTAGCTCTGACAGCCACAGCTGTTCCTAAGTGAGTGAAAAATTTCTTGTATTTACCAAAAAGATACATTTTTCCTGTTTGCTTTTATAGGTTAATTCCTTTAATTGCACTTTTATTTTCAATTATTTGCAGTTCCCTACAAGATTGATTTCTAGTATGATAGGTGTTTGATTGGATCAATTTTATCCCATGTTAATTCCTAAGTTTTAATTATTTGTAGGTTTGAATTGTTTCAAACTAGATTGATCAAGAATTAGCACATGTATGTCACCTTTGATTCATGCCAGTTCACATGTACCATACATGGGCATGGTGTGCAGTACCATGCTAGACAGTACTTGTGTGGGTTGGCAGACTCTTGCTAAATGGCATGTATGGTAAGTCCATTGCCAGCAATGTACCATGTTCCAATTAAAGAACTTGAGATTGGCGTCATAGTATATCTTTTTTGTTCTTTTTGGAAATTGTAGTTGATTTTTGCCATTATCTTCAAGGGCTGCTAGATTTAGGTTGTCTGAAAAATTGCAGTCTGATTAATCAAGTAATACTTGATAACTCAAACAATGACACATGGGATTTCTGGTGAAATGTAAGAGGATTTATCTACTGCGACTATTGATCTAAGCCATATGAAAATTTTGGTTTGGCTAATTACTACTCCTCAAACTATGCATAAGCTTATAATGAAAAATTACTTGTGTTCTCTCTCTCTCTCAATTTCTATATGTTTTTCCAGGTTCTATATCTGAGACTTTATGAATATTCTTGTTCTTTTGTCACAGAAAATAACTTGATCCATTTTGTCAGGACTTGTGGGTGTATGTTTAGAGTTTAGACTGTTTTATGATGTATCAAGCCTATATATTTTAAAAGGAAACTTTCTGTCTTGATACATAGCATGCCAGTTCCGTGAATCAGACTTTTATGTGGAATCCATCTAATAATATAAAGATTTCCAATATTAAGCCTCATTTATCTTTGTTAGCATGAATCAATAACTCTGATATTTAGACCTGAGGCAAAGTCCAGTAATCTAGATAGATGATTTATCCTTTACTTTGTATATTGACTTTCTTAATCATTTAGGTATAGTTTGTACTGCATGCATCATTACACTATTTTGCCATTGTTAATAACTGGGTTCTTCTGCGATGCAGAGTTCAGAAAGATGTGATAAGTTCCTTGTGCCTTCATCAACCATTAGTCCTAAGTGCTTCATTCAATCGTCCTAATATATATTATGAAGGTAATATCATTAGGTCACTGTCTTTTGATCAATGACATTCTCTTTTAGTTTGTTTACAAATCTTTGTTTTGGTTGCATTTTTAGTTCCTTTCAGAATTTTCAGTAATATTTGTAGTGCTTTCTATTTCTTATATGTTTTAAATATAGCTCTCAAAGTAAGCTTTTCATTCAGGAACTCATCATGATTCCACAACATTTATTGTCATTGCTTTTTAAGTTTTATAATTTCTTTCATTTCTCTTCATTTTCTGATGATCATGTTAATCATGAAGATGATTGGAAAAAACTATAGTAGTATGCTGTCTTTCCCCTCTTTTTGTTTGTCCTATTGTTTACATTCTGTTTTTAACCAGAATTTAGACCTATCTAATTTATAATTATTTGTTGCAGTTCGTTACAAAGATCTTTTGAAAGATACCTATGCTGATTTGTTAAATCTACTAAAATCTAGTGGAAATGTTTGCTCGATTGTTTATTGTCATGAGCGTTCCACTTGTGATGATTTATCATCTCACCTATCAAAGCATGGTATCTCATCAGCAGGTATGTCTGTAAGGTCTGAATGTTAACCATCAAGGATCTTTGTTAATAATAACATCGATGTATTCTTTTTTGCTTTCTCTTTGTTTTAGTTTACCATGCTGGTTTGAGTAGCAAATTGCGGTCTACTGTGTTGGATGACTGGCTATCTTCCAAAATTGAGGTTGTTGTTGCAACAGTAGCTTTCGGGTATCAATCATCTTAAGACCTTTAGTAAATCTATTTGATATATTGCTTATTGAACTGCGTTTAATTTCCTGGATGTGATTGTATTGTTAATTGGTTCATCTTGCAGCAAAGTATTATAGTCTTTTGTCTGAATTAACTTGTTTGGATCTTTCATAGGTAATACAATAACAATTATGATGAGACCCTTTATGCAAATCATTTGAGAACTGTGGGATCAACTTCCTCAAATCATGACTCCACATCTCCAAACCAGGGCCTCTATGAGAAGTTGTAACTGAAACTAAGTTAATTAAACCAGGGCATAAATGCGTTAAGATGTCAACTATACCATTTTGATGTGAACTTTCATATACAACTTCGAGCAATATATTAAGTTTCACTAGGGGTACCCATAAGATCATTGATATAACTTCTAACCATTCTTGATAGTTATGACTTCAAGCCAATGCCCTCTTGTACTGCGACTTTGCATCCAGTATTCAATCAGCAAGTAACATTTCTGTTGTACTTCTGGTGAATTCTCTTACTTGTAAACAAAAGGAAAACTACTTGGCTTGTTTCACAGAAGTGCACTAATCAAGGGTTTCTGCTTGATTGTCGGTCTTTATTAAAGTTATTTTGATAGCTTGTTTTGAAACCTATCCTAAGGAGTTCTTATATTTACTCACCGACTTCAAGATTGTTGATGTGTGGCAATGGAATATGATTGAGTCTGGAACCTTCTATACCAAGCTAGTTTGTCATATCCCATCGAGCTTGAAAAATGATGTTTCTATTCTATATGAAATACCCCATTAAGGCCAAAGGTAATGGACATGAATTGGTGAACGTTTGGTTTTTAAGATTGAATAAGGATAGTTATGGGGAGAATTCTGAGAATTTCCCTAATATCCAAGGTAATTGGTTCCTTGTTTCTTTATAATTTCTACTTTTTTAAGGATAAAGAAGATTAATCTTTTGCTAAGAAAAACATACATTAAGTTTAATTATTATCTGAGGGTGTCCCAATACACACCTTGTTGCTTTGACCATACTCCTTTTTCTTTTCCTCCATGTCTTTAGAATGTTATAGACTTATAGTTATGTTTGTTTGATAAAACCTATTATATTGCCTATACAGAATCTCACCATTACTTGTGCTGAATAGTAAATTTTAGGTTGACATTGCACAACATCAAGGACCTCAAATAGTAAAATTTAAGATTATATTATGTTTGTTGATTTCGAATTACCAGGTATTGGTGACACTGTACCTGAGGGATGACTTAACTCATCCTATAAGTTGAAAACAATTTAAATATAAATTAATCTTGATAATCTACATTCTAGCTTCAGTGGTGGTGTTCTTTTTAGTTTCTGCATTCAGACTATTTCATATTTTACTGAAAATCTGTCATCTCATCATTTTGTCTACTGTGTCTGTTGCGGTTGCTTGCTCGTGTCCAATCATAAAAATTTGGGGTTTTTACACTTCGGGTTCGGCACAGGATGGTATGAACTATGAACGCCTTGAGTATTTAATTTTATACAAGTTTCTTTGTCTTGGTTTCAGTACTAAATTGCTTCGCTCCACATTGTCCATTTTGTTACTTATAGGGTATAGATAGAAAGGATGTTCGCATTGTTTGTCACTTCAATATACCAAAATCAATGGAAGCCTTTTACCAAGAGTCTGGAAGAGCTGGCCGTGATCAGTCGTCTTCGAGGAGTATTTTATACTATGGATTGGATGATTGCAAAAGAATGGTGATTATACCAGATACCCTATTTCATGCCTAATGGAGATCACCACTTCTAAATGGTCTGTTCTCTATGCAATAGGAATTCATTCTGAGTAATGCTATTGGGAAAAATAATGAATGTTCATCTTCCTCAAATGGCTTGTCAGAGAAGTCCCTTGCTGCATTCAATCAGGTGTATTAACTGTTCTGGAAGGACAATTTATACGTTTCTCAAATTTTAGTTAAAGAATATTGCATTGCTGCAATATACAGATGGTGGAATACTGTGAAGGTTCTGGTTGCCGGAGAAAAAAGATTCTTGAAAGTTTTGGTGAACAGGTTCTTACCATGTAGCTTATCAACACCACATACTTGATAAATTCCAGTCTGGATCCTATTTTAATTTGTAATTAACTAACATTCGATGGTTAAGTAGATATCAACATCATTATGCCAAAAAACATGTGATTCGTGCAAACATCCGAACCTAGTAGTGCAGAAGTTGGAGGATCTTCAGCGCATACATTATTCTCACAAAAAGGCCAGGCTCTTTCCTATTTTCATTAAAAGGTATTGTGTTAGTGTTAAAAAGTTCAAATACCAGTTAAATAAAGTGTTCGAGCATAGTTTGTTGCTTTCACTATTATGCAAACTGCACATCCACAATTAGAATGAATTTTTAATATTGTTTTCTATACAATATTATGATTTTACATCTAGTATGATTTACACAATCTATGATCATCATGTGTGAAATTTATAAAAAAACATAACAACAAATGTTTAATTTATATGCACATTATAATGTTTAACACGTTTTGAAGCCTTATATAGATGACATGTAAATATACAAAGTGTAGATAGTCTTGAAAGTTGAAACTATTTGACACATGTTGAAAAGTATTCAGCAACAGTTAGTGTTTGATGGACCAATCATTGAACCAAGGTTCGCAATACCGTACCGTACCGGAGTTTCGACCTGGGCTCGGTACCGGTACGGTACGGTATACCGCTCGGTACACCCAGGTGTACTGAGCGGTATATTCAGGCGTGCCGAGTACTGTAGCAGTGCTACAGAGCTACATTACTGCTACAGTACCGGACCAGTAAGAGGCGGTCCGCGTACCGGAAGCCTGTCGGACCGGTACGGCAAACCATGCATTGAACCATGATATATTACTGTCTATCAGGATATGTTCTATATATTTGAACGCAAAATGTCAAAATGTCAGTTATGACATTATATAATAAAGATATCTTGTATTGCCTCATGCATGCTGTCCCATATGCTCTTTTTATTGAGGTTTGCCATGTTGTTAAATTTGCAGTCATATCAGTATTCCATATGTCTAACCATAATTATGCATTATAGTAGCTCTCTTACTTTTGAAGGATATAACTTTAGCCAGTCATTGTATGGTGGCATGGCCTAGACTCAAAACCATACTTATTCTAACAAGCTCAGTTAGGAGTTATTCGCCTGGTTGATTTATGCATAATTGACTGTCCCTTGGTTGTTTCCAGCACAACCTATGGCACTTCAGAAGGTCAGAGCACAGAATTCTGGAATCGAGAAAATGAGGATAGTTACTTGGGTGAAGAAATATCAAATTCTGAAGGTAATACATCCATTCATGGTTAAAGCTCAAACTTTTCTGTTAATATATCTTATTTTCAGTCATCTAGGAGCTACTATCTAGCTCATGTTTGCTTCCAGTACTCAGTGGTTTTAAGCTCTATGGTTTAGGTTCTGGCAAATAATATAGCTTATTAAATGGGATTATTCTTCTGAAACAAAGAAGCCGTTTGTTTTCTTTCTTTTGTATACTATACAATTGGAGTGGCTCAATCCAAGAATCCAATCACAAATATTCTGGAAGAAAGAAGGCTTATTATTGCACAAAAGGGATAAGAAATTTGAGCTTTACCATTATGAAATTATAAATATTTTTGAATTGCACATGTATCTTTTAACTGTTAATTTTAACCTAACAGATGAAGCAGATGATGCTAGCAATATGACCAGATCAAAGATGCCAACAGATGCAGCACTAGATGAAAAATTCAAGATATTGCAGCATGCAGAAGAGCTTTATTTTCGGAGTAAAGGTCCAAGCAAGCAGGTACGAATACTCCTTTTATTTAATATAGAGGTTCATTGGAGCTTCAGCTTTTCATAACTTTCACTGCTGGAAGGGTTTAATATATTTCACAAAATTGACCAGTTTCTTTGACTTGAATACCATTTTATAGTTGTCTGCATATAATTCACACCTTCTTGACAAGTCACAGAGTGCACCATCATTATCACTAATTACATACTGCAACCAAACTATCTATAAACTGCAACCAACTTTTCCGTTTAATTTAATGCCCTTGTCATTAAACTGCAACCACATTATCTATAGACCAAAATGCAACTCTTTTGCCCCTGGGACTTAATTTTTTGGATACTTTACTGCTCTTTTTGAAATTAGTTCCCACCATGGATTCCATTATCCTGCTGGAAGTTGACTACAATTCTTTCACCAAATTTTGGCTCCACCTCCATCAATCATAGTTATGAATTAGTTTTTACTTCCTAGGGAACTTAGTGACCATCGAATTGATGGGAGAAGGTTCAGTGAATGAGGATAGTTTTAAATATGAGGGTTTTTTCCTTCAAAAATACCGTGGTAAGGCTGATGGCACATTATTGCAGAGGCTGCTGCATAAATTAGATGGATTAGTCTGGTGTTTTCTTGTAAACTGCAGAAGTGTTGGCTGTAGTTTACGATGTAAGATAACATGCTTCATGATAAGCTAAATCATTTCAAATTTTCAATAACTCTTTTTATGATGTAAGTGTAAGCAAATGAATGGTATTTGTAGACCATATTTCTGACAAACATGTGGACATGCAGAGGCAGGCAGATCTGGCCTCGAAGTATCTGAAAATGAGAAAATATGCCATCAACCCATTAGACTTTTGGTATTTCAGAAGATTAAAAGCTGTGTGATAGAAGTTCACATTAATTTCTTACAAGGACATTCTAAACCAAGCTCTACATGGTGTTCATATGTTGTATAGTCTGCATGCGTCCTTTCTGTCTAGACTTGTCTTCTAGTTTCTCTCTTCCTTGTTTGATAGTGAAGTTAATGAAATTAATGCAATATAAGTACTGCTGGTTTGCATGTGATTGACCGTTTCGAATGGCTGTATCACATCTCTTGGGTGATTATCAGGGTAGCAGCGACAAAAAGACCATTACTGACACATTGAGAAAAGAAAGCACAAAAAGGTTTTTGAATGCTCTGAAGCAGACCAAGGAACGGCTCAGAAAGCTACCGTAAGCAACTTTCTTTTTTAACAAAAGCCTTATCAAGCATATGTTCTTCCATAAACTTGCCCTGCCATACCCCTGAAATGCACTGTATCTATTGCCAGTGAGATACCTGGATCTCATATGAGTATGTTTAAGGACTCATTTGGCGTATTTCTGTTTTGATATTTAAAATTTGAAAAATAAAAACTTGGAAATCAGTGCAAACTTAGTCTTGGTGTCTATGTATCAAGAAGAGTAATTACCTTATTTGTAGATTTTTTTCAGATATAGAAATTCTATTTCTAAAATTTTCCATAATTAACTTCCACTCTTTTCATCCCTCTGTAATCAGAAATTTTTTTCTACAACAAAAGAAAGAACCACATAAGACAGACTTTTTTTTTATTTCCTATGTTCATAGGCACTAGGAAAGTAATTAATGCCAAATTACTTTTCTATGTAACCACATTCTGGATTGGTTGGAAAAGCTTGATTGGTTGCATAATTTTGTTTACTCAATTCTACCCTATATTAGTTCATTTTCCTTCACCATTTTTTCCAAACTTTTGATCAAATACTACGAGTTCTCATAAGGATGTTCTTTCCTCTAATTTGGCTTTCTTGTTCTGTCATCTTTCAGAATAGACTGTGAGGCTTCTGCTGCGTTCCTTGAAATGGAATGTTTTAAGAAGTACGAGAAGGTTGGGAAAACATTTTACATTTCACAAGTTGCTGCCACAGTCAGGTGGTTGTCAAATTCCAGCTTTGAGCAGATATATGACAGGCTTAGTGATGAATCTACCCAGACTAGCTCCAGTTATGGACAGGATGATCTTCCAAGTGGTACTGATTCAGCTTTGCTTCAGGATGGGATTACTACAGATGCTGTGCATAAAGAAAACCAGCTTAATAGTAATGCCCTAGTAGAAAATTTTAATTGTTCATTAGAGATGAAGAATCCTAGCGAAAAGATTGATCTTCTTCCGATCCCATCCTTCTCGGAATTTGTCAACGGAAAGGGGAGGGCACAGTCTTCTGGTTCTTCAAATATCACAACTTCAGAATCTAGGAAGCACATGGGCAAGAATCCGGAGAAGAGGATACGATTGAAGTAAATCTGCTTAACCGATCCCTCTCAGCTAGATGTTACCTAGTTCATTTGTCTTTTAATGCTAATGTTGTCAAACTACGTGAACCGGCAATATGTTGTTTAAGGGGTAGACATCAATGTTTTGATCCATGTTCTGGAGAGTTTTTTGATGGCTGTAGAAGATAGCTGCTAATGGACCCTATAAAAGGCATCGCATGTGTCTGTGGCAAACAAAGATTTTGGGCTTGCAAATTTCAAGCACTTGATTAAACATCGTCCTTCTTTGTGATACAAGTTCTTGTTCCTCTTTGTTTTTGATTGATCTTTTGCAGTTGCATCAAAGGATTGTTGTAAACTTTTACATCAGTCAACTGGATAATTCGAAGAGTCACCGGTTGGCACTGATCATGTTTCAAGCACTTGATTAAACATCATCCTTCTTTGTGATACAAGTTCTCGTTCCTCTTTGTTTTTGATTGATCTTTTGCTGTTGCATCAAAGGATTGTTGTAAACTTTTACATCAGTCAACTGGATAATTCAAAGAGTCACCGGTTGGCACTGATCATGTTTTGGATCAGCTAATTAAAAATCCAGGAATCATTTTGGTGCTAATTTATGATGAAGAAACTCCCAAAATCTCTTCGATGAGTTGACCTGGAAATGTTGATTGTTATGTTGTGCCCCAAATGTAGGATGCATAGAACATGAGTGAAAGTTTAGAAGTAGGGATGCCAAAGAGGCTTGATAGTTCTCCTTGCACAATTTATGTGGTTCAAAATAGTATCAACTAAGCCAAGAATGCTCAGTATCAGAGAAATATATTGGATGCATAAAGATGAAATGTTTTTGCTACGAAGTCGAACTATGCAATGTTTCGAGTGTTGAAAAAGATCCAATTTAAAATGGCTTTCTTGATACAAGCAATGCATGTAGATGATGTTGCAAATATGTTATTTGGAATTTGCTACATAGATTTTTTGTTGTTGTTGTTGTTGTTAGAACAAACAATATACACAAAAGCAAGAAATTGTGCAATTTTAAACAGCTTTTAGAAACTTTGCGGCGGACTTGCATTGCAAATGTTGTTGTCGTTCTCCATCCTCTCGACACCACCCAGTTCTTCGTGTTTCTCCATCCTCTCGATCTCGTCTTCACCACCTTGTTCTCCGTGTTGAATGCAGAACAAATGCCTACATCAAACTTGTGTTGAGAAGTAGAAGAGCATGTTCATATGGATATGGAGTTCAGACACGGAAATTATGTCAGTGATCAGAGAAAGCCAGTAGATAAACCCTAACCATGCTGCTCTCAAGAACAAAACAGCCACCTTTAACCATTCCTGTTCTCCAAGAACAATAGAAAGATCAGGGAGAGAGGCTCTGACCACCAGCATGGAAACACCAGATAAGTTTGAGCAACCAAAGAATCAAAGCCACACACAATATATCTAGGCTGCATTCTGAAATTTCCATCATGTTCCATTGACAAATGCAACTACCAACGATTTCGATGTATTCTCCATCCAAATCTTCTTTAATTGACACAGTTGCATTTCACAGAGAAGGCAGTGATAATTATACATCAACAATACAAATCCAGTACACAAAATGATCCATTTTATTTGTGGCATACATTGCTAGTCAACCATTTGGGAGTTCCGATACCTTAAAGGAAGACAAAGATTTCAAAGCACACGGAACAATAGATTAACTTAAGCAGCTTCAATAACCATCGAGAATGGACACTCTCAAGCTTTATAGCAGACTTCGCCATCACAGATGTATCCTTCCTTGCCATTCTCCCTTTGTTCTTCTCCAGGGCCATCACTGTGTGAATCACCAACTCCGTTAGCCACTTCGTCATCATTGAATGCACACTTGGGATGCAGATCAAAGTCACAATCATCACAGTAGAAGGACCACCCACTTCCTTCCTCGTTGCACGCATCACATATGTAGCTCCTGCGGTGGGACTTCACAAGCTCATGCTGCTCATGTAGCTTATGCTTAAGCTTTTCAGGCCAACCCTTTGCCATCTCCTCAATCTCAGCCTCGATTTCTTGTATTCGTTCCTTGGTGAACGGATAGGCAGCAGCACCATGGGTCATTACCAGCTCTCTTGCTTCCGTGGTGACAGTTTTTCCTGTTGGACCAATGGCCACAAGCGATGGAATACCATAGATCTTAAAGGTGCGAGCCAAAAACTTTTTCCTCTCATCTCCAAAAGGGAGTGCCAGCCATGGCATTTCCGAAAAGAAGTCATGAAAAGAGCTCTCATCACGATCATTCGACACAAAAATGATTTCAAAGGCATCATCCTTCTCCTTGATCTTGTGGTATGCCTCGATTAACTTGGGTAGAAACATGCGACAAGGAGGACACCATTGTGCTGAGAAGTAAAGAAGTATGTTCTTCCCGACGAGTTCAGACACTGGAACCTAATCCATAAGAGCAATTAAATAAGTTAGAAGATTCCAATATCATACAGCTTATCAAGAAAAACACCTTTCATACCTCACCTTTCCTATTATCTTGAGAAGAATGAAAAGGAGACAGAGAGATTCACCACTGACATTAAGTAGTACATGATAATTTAAATTACCAATAAAGCAAGTAGCATAAGAAACCCAAGCCCACCTATTGATGCCTCTAATAATTAAACAAGAAAAGCCTTTGTCTTGGCCTGCTCTTTTCTAGACAGTAGTCCAGGTTATTCAATTCAATGTGCATTTGATATGTACAAGGATCTACCACCATAAAAAGGCAATTTTTAAGGGCAAACTCCATTCTGACTAACCTACTTTAATCATATGAAATTGGCATGTGCCTTCTTGTTGGTCAGTACAAGGACAGCAGTTTCGCTGACATGCCTAACCAGATGAAACTACATCCCAATACAACCATTTCACAGTAACTTCTAAAACTGGCAAAATCATTTTTCTCTGGTTTATTCAGCAGCAGTGCAACTGAAACAAAACTTACAAATAAACTAGCATTCATAAGGTTAAGAAACATGAAGGACATTGAGCACATAAGCTCCCACGCTTTTCGCTTCCTCCTTTTTCTTTCTCTTTTGGCAGCTGCCGGCATGCTGGCCTGGCACGAAACCATGCTGATGGCACATACCAAGCCAGATGGTGATGGGCATTGCTGCAGGAAGGCATTTCTCAATATAGGGGAAGCTCCAACTCATTTAATCATCAAGTAGAAACCATCATTTATGAAGCATCTTTCCTTTCTTACAAGTAGGAAGAGGATGGAGCAAGTCGATGCCATATGACTTGCAACCAAAAACTTGTGATCTAATTGATGTGTTTCAACTGATTCAAACACATACACGTAGTCAGAAGTGTGTCACAATAAGATCACTTAAAACTTAAAAGTACATAATCAGCAGTGATTCATGATTGCATATACAAGTAGGAAAAAAAAATCATAAGGCATCAAATTTAGTCACATCAAACACAAACACTTCAAAACATAGTTTGATGTTTTGGGTACTAGAACATCCTGGTATGTCTCGACATACCAACACATGATATGCCAGCACGTACTGTAAAACCTTTTTTAAGACTTAAGCATACATGGTGTTGGGAGACACGTGCCACAGATCAATATGGCGAATGCCAGTGCCCACTGGTTACTTTGCAGATACCTATTAGATACAGTACATATAATTATAAAAGACTGGACATTTAATAATACTTCAGATGTACTTTGTAGATATCTCATGTAATATGATGGACACCTTAAAAATATGACTTGAATATTTCTTGTCATTTGTATTCAGAAATAAACTTATGGATAAGAAACTATAATCATAATTTCATTGACCCTCATTGTAAGTTCTCATTAGTTTACCTTTTGTCCATTTTGTAGCATAAGGTTATAAGAAACAATTTCTTCCTTGATGAATTGGTAAATGTATTCTTTAATTGTTATTTACTACTCATTAATGTTGGCATCAATTAACCGTCTACATAAGTAAAGAACTTCTTTATACATAATACAGTTCATTCAAATTATTATTTACCAACACAATCATACTGTATAGTATGCTATTCTTTTAAACATTTGATATTTCAGTGTATCCATATTGTGTCATACCAAGAACTTATTTTCTTATCTGTGCTTTGTAATAGATATTTTTCCATAGATCAAATGTAAATAAGAGCAAAGTGCAAACACATTATATAGGATTTTTACCCTAATGCCGCCATTTCCAATGACATAATCCTGCTCTCCAGAAGCAAGAAGTGATTCTAGAGTTTGAGCTTCTATCCTTGCCTTCTCTTTTTCTGCAATCTCCTCTAACTTCTCAGGAGAGAATGGATATGCTTCAATCCCATGTTCTTCAATGAGCTCAGCAACATTGGAGTTTAGAGTCTTCCCATCGGAGCCAATTACAACCAGTGTAGGAATGGAATCAAGCTCAAAGTAGCGAACTAGTTTATCACAGATTTTGTCCTTGAAGGGAATTGCAAGCCATGGCATGTCCGCAAAGCCTTGCTCATAAGATGACTCCTCATCATCCAAGGAGACTAGTACGACCTCAAAGTTCTCACCATTTTCTTTCAGTTTTAGATACATCTCTTTAAGTGATTTTGCAAATTCACTGCATGAATTGAATGAGCTAATTGAGAAGAATATACCGACAATCTTTCCTTGAAGCTCAGACACAGGAACCTGACATATATGCTAAAGGTCATATCGATGAAGTTAAGATATTATATATAAAGAAAACTCCAATATCAATGAGAAGTAATCACCTTATTTCCATCTTTTGAGATCACAAAATCACGAGAGGAGGACACAAGCAAGCTTCGAAGAGTTTGATTCTGTTTTGCAGCCTCTTCTTCCTCTTTCAGCTTTTGAATCCTTTCATCTGTGAATGGATAAGCATTGGATCCATAATCCCTCACCACTTGAACACCCACACTAGTAAGAACTTTCCCATTGACATCAAATATCACTAGGTAAGGTATCCCACCCACATCAAACAAATCATTGAGTCTATCACGGATATCGGAGTCTGAAAAAGGAATTGCAAACCATGGCATCTTAGAGAAGTAATCAGTAAATGACTTTTCATCCTCATCAGCCGAGACAAAAACAATCTCAAAGTTGCCATTTTCAGAGGATAGCTCATTGTATGTCTCAACCAGTTTTGGGGTAAATCTTTTGCAGGGTCCGCACCAAGAAGCTGAGAAGTAAAGACCAACAATTTTACCATCTAAATTGCTGATCTTCACCTGAAGAATTTTAAATAGAAGCACGATGTCAGAATACAATACAATTTATCTGCAAAGTTTAAACACGTATTGGAGTGAGAATAATATATGAAACTAATATCTGGGAAAGTGAAACTATAAGATGCCCTAGGCAGGATAAATTTTGCTACGTGCACAAAACTGATTTCTTGTAGTTACCAAGCTCACTAAAGGATTTTAGAAAGGATACATTCAATTGAAGGCCAAAGAGAAAACCAAGCTCAGTTCAAGTACAGCATGTGTTATGCAATGCTTTGCTCCATATGATTAATGAAATGGTTCCTTCCCTTAGCATTAATAAAATATGACGGCCATCAAAAGCAAAAATGACATGGATAGTAAATCCTCAATCAGATGCAAAATCAAGTGGTCACCATCAAGTACCACAAACACAGGTCTCCACTCTTATCTTCAAAATATACTAATTAATACCCTCAAAGTTGAGAAGTCATCATTCTGAAAATCAGCATAAAAAGCACAACTAAAAATCTCCAATTACCTACCAATGCCTATTCAAACTATATTCATTTGAAGGAATCACCCAAAACTCCACCAATTTCGTAACACTGGCCAAACACACAAGAAGAAAGCATCCATTTTATTCATTTTACTAGTTCGTCTATTTGTCTACAGAGTCAAGAATAAGCCCATACTGAATTTCCAAGACCATCTAAAAGGAAGATTTAAGGTACACTATAGTATAGAATATTAGCTATTAGCTAATATAAACCAGAAAATATATCAGCCATAATAGACACTCCAATGTGCCACCATATATGACATTGAGAAAATAATCTTGATAGGAAACTGCTGACAATTTGTTCCTTACATGTTCTGTGGAAGAATGTGCCAAAAATCTGTCAGCATCATCATATACAACTACGCATACATATAGATCCAGATCAATAAAGGAATACAGAATCCAAATCCGATAAAACCTTAAATCCAAATTTAAGTATTTATCATTTATCAAAATCTAAAGTTGATGTTTGACTTATCACCTAGCATGTTAGTTGTTTCTATTATAGAAAAAAAATTATATGTATTATATAAAGTCACCATTGACAATGATCTTATTATAGTTGATTTTAACTATCATTTAAATATGAAATACTTATCTTATGTAATACACAGATAATTTCACAAGTATATTGTATAAAAGCATGAATTAAACTATAACAATTAATTGGATCTATTATCAAATCTAGGATAAGTATCTAGCAATATTTGAACACAAATCTGCTTAGCTTTTGATAAGCCATTAAATAAGTAACCTTTCATAGAAAATGATTAATAGATCATTCTTGATGTATTCTTCGTTCTTTACTTATTCTTGTCATGGTCATATGGTTTCATTTCTAATCTAACAAGGCCATAGATCCATATCTAAAAAGTTATTTAATATTGGATTCTAGATCTGATGTTTGGCTTCCACTAAGTATAGAATTGTACATGAGAATTATCTTCTTATAATAGATTAATTTTATCATTTAAATTAAAGTTTAAAATACAGATGTATATATCATGGTGCATATGTGATATGCAAACATATATACAGGTTTTATAATTTTACAAAAATAAAATACTAAAGTGATATATTTCAAGAAATATAATCAAACTTATGGTGGATGAAAACATAGTATACCCAAATTTAAGATGAGTTACATGCTAAATATATGAAACCATAACAAAGAACCACAAAAAATTTAAAAGAACTTATCAACAATATTATGTAAATTCTAAGACCATTACGTAATGCAACATGAACAAACTTGATATCTATCCAAAAGATCAAGCATTCAAAGAAACAAAGGTAAGATCATAAAACTCCAATCATACTCTGAATATAAAGCTGCAAAAATGATCTGTGGATAGATGCATGTCACTACTGCATATGTCATATTTTGACCATGGTTTGAAGTTGTTGGAAGCATTAATTCAAATTACAGATAACACATCTCATATCATGAATAAAAATCACAAACAAGTGTGATAATAGCATATTTTATGCATAAAAACTACGAGACACGAAATATAAGCTATATTAATTTATTGCGCCTAAAAGAAACTAATGACACTAATGACATCATTAGCTTAACCAACATAGTGCGGATGTTTGACCTGGTGGCTAATTTAATCTAAATTTACAAAATTAAATTGAAATAAATAACTGAAGATAAGCACATAATGTTTAAAGTCAACAATTTAAAAGTTGACCGTCAGATTTTTTTTTTGGCCCTGTCTTTTAATCTGGAAAAAGAACGGCATAGCGGTCGCTATTAATTTCCAAGAAAGCAAACGGTATTCCCGACCGTCCATGTCCGAACCCGATCATCGGAGAACCTCCGATAACGAGGCCAGTGCGTGGGCAGAAACGATACTGAGAAGAAGCACTACGAGGGCGGCGACGGCGGCCGAGTCGCTAAATTCTCGAGATGGTAAAGCAGGATGCAATAGAAAAGAGAAGGCGACGGAAGCGGACCTGATCGCCGGTGTTGCGGACGAGGAAGTCCCGACCAACGCTGGCAAGCAGCGACTGGAGGTCGTGGGTGGTCTCCTCGTGGCCGTTGAGCTCGCCGTTGGATTCTGCGTCGTGCTCCGCCATAGTCGCCTCCCTCCCTCCACTCCGCCACAGTCTCTCTCACGCTCTCTTTCTCTTCTTACAGAAGGGGGATAGCGTCGCGTACCGGCGAAACGGATCGATGCCTCCCCCAACTATTATTACCCTCCTTTTATAGATATAAATATATATATATATATATATATAATTAATTTTATTTTATTTCCTTTGTCATTAAGCAAAGAATAAGCGAAGATTTGACTTCCTATGGACCGAGTCTAGGCTCAGATTTGGAAGTAATCACGACTAAGCCATTGGAGGGGTCTGTTCGTTGACTTGGCACAGTACACTGCGAGTCTTAATTTGTGTATCTTATATTGCTTAAAATTAATGTTTCATTGCATATTTTTTATTATTCATTTATCAAAAAAAGTTGTGGTTATCACTATCTCAAAAGGTTTTTCTTTACTTTTTAATGTGAGACTAAATTATTTTCTTAGATTTTTTTTCTTATTAACTTAATTGGATTATGATTTATTGAGGCAAAAAATATTTTTTGATTAGGATAAATTATGCGTCTAATTAATTAATTTATTAAAATTTAAATATGATAAATTTTATGTCAGATCACATGAACATAGATCTCTTAGTGTAGTTTTGATAAAAATTAATTTTGTTCATTCAAAAAAAAAAAAGATCGTTCGGCAAAAGCGAGTTGGACTGGGCAGAAATCATTTCCTGCAACACAGAAAAATTGATTTGGCATTGCAAAATTGAGAATATAGAATATTTCTACAAGAAGCAATAGATATTTCCACAAAAGTGTCTAAACAATAAAAGAACACAACAATGTCGCATGTGCATTTTTGCCTGTGGAAAGAGACTATATAGATGTTTGCAGATAGCTTTCTTCATGTATCTGTTGAAGCAAATAATTTGTGTCATGTCCTCCAATGCTGTTAATTCATTGCATAATTCAGTCAAAGCAAATAAATAAGATACATGGTGTTCTTGATACTTTGCAAACACCTCTTTCTCCAGTTATCATGTAATGCTAACAATTCTGAAATCTAAAGGTTCTACTTTTCACTTTCATCATTTGGGAGGCTGTGTTACAGACTTTAATTGACCTTTTCACTGATTGTGGAAGTTGTCTATCTCTTAGTTATTTGATCATTTAGGATGATGAACTATTTATTTCATAATAATTAACAGAAAATTATTAATAAATTACCGGGAAGATGTTGCAATGTCGATCCTTAAACAATGTTACAGGATCTGCAAAGTATTGCTGATTCCTCAGAAAAATACTATGAGCATTTTTGGATAAAGCCAAGCTTTTCTTAAGGCATGCAGGGATGAGGATGCCGGTACTGTACATGAGTTTGGCCTGAGCAAACCACAAAAGCATCTCAGGGTCAGATCCTGCAGAATTTAAAGCAGTTTAAGGATTAATAATTTCAAATATCAAGCACTTACTACAAGTCATTTTTGGTTGAAGCCAACCTTTTGTACATGAGTTTGGCCTGAGCAATCCATAAAAGCATCTCAGGGTCAGATCCTGCAGAATTTAAAGCAGTTGAAGGATTAATAATTTCAAATATCAAGCACTTACTACAAGTCATTTTTAGATGAAGCCAAGCTTTTGTACATGAGTTTGGCCTGAGCAATCCACAAAAGCATCTCAGGGTCAGATCCTGCAGAATTTAAAACAGTTGAAGGATTAATAATTTCAAATATCAAGCACTTACTACAAGTCATTTTTGGATGAAGCCAAGCTTTTGTACATGAATTTGGCCTGAGCAATCCACAAAAGCATCTTAGGGTCAGATCCTGCAGAATTTAAAGCAGTTGAAGGATTAAGAATTTCAAATATCAAGCACTAACCACAAGTCCAAGGAAACGGTTCTGTTCTTCTAATTTTCCATTAGTTGAGGCATTTTATCATACAAATAGAGGACTGTCAAATGTGCCGAGCACTACAAATCCGTGAGCATAAAAGACAACACTTTCACCTGGTTTGTTCACATGACACTTTATTCTTAATTCTATTTCATGCATGATCTGGAGGCATGCATGAAATACAACACTTTCATCTGTTCTTCCAATTTTCCATTAGTTGAGGCATTTTATCATACAAATAGAGGACTGTCAAATGTGCCAAGCACTACAAATTCGTGAGCATAAAATACAAAATTTTCACCTGGTTTGTTCACATGACACTTTATTCTTAATTCTATTTCATGCATGATCTGGATGAAGTGCTTACCTGGTCCAACAGGATTGGAACCAAAGTCTCCAGGAAGACTACAAATTGTGTGAAACCTAGAACTAGTCCTGTCTCTGAGACTTCATTGGAAGCCTCCACCCTACCACTCATCATGTGATAGATGGCAACCATACTGAGAATGTGCAACAAATACACAACTATACATTCATGCCATTGTGGTGCCATTTCATTGTAGCCTGAGAATATTTCAGACGCTAAGGGAAGCAAAATAATGAAGAAGGATTGAGAAATGGTAGACAATATCAACAGCTGATTTCATTGGCTTAACAGAGATTAATTTGAAGCAATAGAAGTAGAAAGGGATGCAGTGGTGCTACAGAATTGGACTGGGGATTGCAGAGTGCAAAGCAAGCAGTTGCCGGTGCCATAGATTTGTCTAATATTTTGTACAATAATTGTGAGACAAATTAATCTTCATATTTCCTTTTCTTTCAAATCCATGAAAATTATACCTTAAATTGAGCAAAATCACTATGAACACATGATTTTATATATATATATATATATATATATATATATATATATATATATATATATATTCTTTTTTCAGTTGTGTGGGTCGGTTAATTGTCAACTATGAATAAAATTGTAGTGAATTTGTAATAAGGTTGAAAAAATTATAGGATTTATACTTAAATATCAATTAGAGGATTGTCAGGCCAATTTTATTATCTGGGTTTGATGGAACCAAAGTCTGTAAATCCAATAAAATATAATCTGATTTAGCACAATTTGAATTCAATTCTAAGCAATTTAACACGGATAATAATCGATACGATTGGTGATTACAATAATGATAAATGATAATTTAAAGTGAGATTTTAGATGATTAATATGGATTTGGTTGATACTGATGTGGACAAATTAATCTTGAAGTCTGATTTGAAAAGAAAAAAATAGCAGATTGATCAAATTAGATATAATATAGGAAAAGATTGATCTGATTAGAAAGCAATGACTAGAAGAAACAAATCACAAATTTTAGATATCAAATTAGGAAGTTAAGTTACCTTTAATTATAACCAAGTTAGATTATCACAATAATACTGACAATGACTGGGGTTACAGAAACTTGTAAAGCCTTTGGTGGATCTCATGGTTTCAATCAAAAACCAGAAGAAAAGCCTCAATTCCACCATTAAACCATGCACATGCAATCACTAATCAATCAAGCAACTACAGAAGTTGTGTGTTTCAATCAAAGGTGTAGATTTAAATCTTATCAGTGTGATTATTAATTGTAATTGTCAACTTCTTTATTTCTGAACACAAATTACTTAAAACTATTAGCTGCTTACTATTCAGAAATGTTTCAAACAAAAGTGACAAATCTTTCTTGCTAAGGTTCAGATCTGAATAGAAAGAAAAAAAGAATTCTTTTGGAGTCACTTGATACTCATCAAAAATATCAAATATCCTGAAAGTTTCTGCTTGCAATCCAAGGCTTGATCAAAGACTGGAAAGACTGGCATCCTTCAGAGAGATCCAGTTTTGAGTAAGACATCATATCACCATGAAACAAGGTAAGCATGAAACAATAATTTCTGTTCCCATGACCAAGTGCTCATTTGCAGAGAACAAGTCAGCAGTTTCTACAGAACTTGAAGAGGAGAAGAAGGTGTTGGAACCTAATGGGCATCTGAATCATCTAGATTTCTCATCTTGATTCCTTCTGTACATTTTAAATGCACATACATGATGAAAAACAAGGATTCCAGAAACAAAATCCTTCTGCAATCACTCACAAACCACAGCATCTGAAAAAACTCCACCTCCTTCAGACCCTTGATAAATCTGCTACTGCTGTGGACTTTAACTGAGTCCATCAGTTCCCACCTACCTTGATGTCTCATCAGTTAACAACTAGTCTCTTTCCTTTTCCTAATGAGAGCTTCTGCTTACCTATTCTGTGGAGTGCTTCTTACTCCAAAACAAACATAGGATGACAGATGTTCTGAGTTAGATTAGATGTTCATAAATCAGAAGAAATCCATGAGAACTTTTACCTGCCACACAACTCCATTCTTATTGGGAGCTAAAAGTCAATGCTATAAACACAAGCAAGACCATGGGACTAGCCACAACTTTATGCTCTAAGAACTCATGATCAAACATCATGTACTAATAGAGCTTTGTCATAGAAGAATATTCGAACTATCCAAAATTGATTGTACAAATGATAGATCTCATAGTTGAATTTACGTATGAGTGTCTTATACGTATGAATATTTTTTCTGCTATTAAGCTTAGTATATAATAATTTTTTTAGTCAAATCGAGAATATTTAATAGCGATATATCAATATTGTTTGTGATTATTATAGTATTTTTATTTGAAGACATATAATGAAGAAGTTGACAAGTGTGGATGGATGTAATTTTAGTCAAAACGACTTAAATTCCACCAATATCAATATATGATTTTTTTGGATAATCGACTTAAATTCTGATCATATAAATTATTAACCCCAACTCTAAACTAATATCAAACATTTGGTTGAAATCAAAAGGCTATAATTTTAAATGCACAAAAAAATATTTTATGCAAAACATTTGTAATAGTTAGCAAAAATAAATAAGCTAATTTGGCCTTCATAAAGCATGTAAAATTTACATTAATTACTGAATATATATATATATATATATATTTATTTATATATTCAATACTTTTCCCTTCATCGCCTCAGAAAGCAATGGCAATCTAACTGATCGCTCTTGATGGTCTGCAGGCAGATGTGAACCGTTGGATCAAGATCGTAAAGGTAGCAAGAGGGGCATTCTCGTTAAAGAGTCGACTTCTACGGTTCCGGTCGGTTGACGCACCCCGAACTCTCGACATCCTGCTCCCCGTCTTCCCTTCTACTCCACTCCACCTCTCGCCCTTCATTTGTATCTCCCGGTCTCCTTCTTCCATGGCCAAGACCCTCTCTCTCCGATCCTTAACCTCGTTTGTCCCCAGCAGGATCCAGTTCTCCTCTCCGAGATCTGCCGATTGACCCCTGTTTCATCTCTTCTCGTGGAGCATAGTGAAAGATCTGATTGAATCCCAGGGTTTCTTGGTTTGTGTTTGGATCAGGTCATGGTTGAGATCTTTCCCTCCGGATGGAGATTGCTCACCACGCACAGGACGCTGGTTTTGGTGCTCTGGATCGTGGGGTTAGCGCTGGTGTTCGGGTGGCAGACGAGCTCGGTGGACGGCCTCGCGTTCTTCCGGTGGGGGACGGTGGCTCGGCCGTCGCCGAGACTGCGGGCGGCGCTGTACAATTTGACGGATTTTGGCGGGGTTGGGGATGGGAAGACGCTGAACACCGAAGCGTTTGAGCGTGCGGTAGAGGCGATTTCGAAGCTTGGGGCGAGGGGGGGCGGGCAGCTCAACGTGCCGTCCGGCCTCTGGCTCACTGCGCCCTTCAATCTCACCAGTCACATGACCCTCTTCCTCGCTGAGGGTGCAGTGATTTTGGGAATAGAGGTAATACCATTCGAGTTTCGTTTCATTAAAGGTATAACAGGAAAGAAATTTAGGAACAATTAACCAACACTAGCCTCATTTCTGGATCCATATGTCACTTACAACTTGCTGTTTATGCTAGGAACATAGATCGTCATCAACAAATAGGACGTTCATTCAATTAGGATTCCTGTTCTCCTTCTGACTTCAACGTATTGAGGACATACAAGATGATTAGTGCCATGCAGCAATAGGGCTTCTTTAGCTTGTGAGGTTTTATTTTCCTCATGCTCTAGTAATGATCCAAGTTCTATCTTTTCTAATGTTTTAATGATAAGCAAGATGTGTCAGTAATCATTTTGTGCATGATGATCGAATTTTAGCACAAGATTTATTTATATATAGTGGACATGGTTGTTTCCTTTTGTCAAATTACTTAGTGTTTTCTCAATCAGGATGAAAGCTACTGGCCACTGATGCCTCCTTTGCCATCATATGGATATGGGCGGGAACACAGGGGCCCTCGGTACGGAAGTCTCATACATGGTGAAAATCTGAAGGATATTGTTATAACTGGTCAGTGTTTTTATTGTGGCAATTTATATTTCATGTTGTTTCTAATTTTCTGCTTCATAAAGTGAATATTAGTGAATCCTCTTCACAGAGAAAGATAAATAGTAAAATTTACAACTACTAGAGTTTATGCCCTAAATCAATTTATGAAGCAAAATTTGTGTCGCCGCTAAAAAACAGCACAGTTAACTTATTGAAAATGCAATTCTGAGTTGTTGTACACAACATTGTTGGGCGGATAAAAATACGCTTAAATGAGGTTGAGACTGACCATTGTTTATCATTTTAGTGCTTTTTCACCCTTTCTAACTACATCTCAGGTGATGGTGATGGTGATATTCTCTTATGTTTCCTTGTTCTTTTTTAAGAACTCCATTCATAAATGAAAATTACAAGAACATCTGTCGATACCTGGTGCCTCTGAGGGAAGTGTACCTAGACTATTGTAATGAAAAGCAACTTAGTTAATGTATCTACAAAAAGCTAAGTTTTTTGTTTGGAGAAGGCCATTGAATAACCATGATGCATAGTCTGTAAGCTTACAATATAGAAGCATCAAGTAGTTCTCAGAGTTGTCCATCAATATTTATGACATTAGGATTTGAAGCTTCTTTGTCAAAGATGCTTTAAGGCAGTAGTTTTCATCTTAAAGAAGTCCTTTTGAGCCATGCTTCCAAGGAAGATTGTTTTATATGGTTTGTTGAATTCAGTTGTCCTTGTTGTAGGTTGTACACCTTTTTTTTCTTCATCCCAGCATCCTTATTATTCATCAATAACCTTCTCCAGACCAGGTTTTAGTTTTGTCTCCCTTGTTACATGGTGAGAAACATTTAGCTGTTGACGACCTAGAACAGTTTGGCAGGAGAAAGGCAAGGTCACACAAATTAACATCAGGGGTTCACCAGCACTGCCGAGGGGAAAGTTCTGCAAAAAAGTTCATTTCTTCCATCATTTTCCTTTCAGGCAGTTCCTATTAACTTTTTGTAGTTTTTTCTTCAGAACACGAGAAAACATGATGCTTGCTTTCCACTGTCCACGAAACAGATGTAGAAAGGTTTTTGGTGACAACTCTTAATTTCTGTCAGGAATATATCTTCTATTATGTTGACAAACAACTTTTCCCTAAATTATGTAAGAAGTGGGTGGTTAATTTCTAGAGATGGTGTGTCTGTGTAATGTTGCAGAAGTATGATATGGTTGTTATCAAGGTTTGTCATTTGAGTACCGAACCCGTCTCGGAGATTTGTCGGGTTGGTACATACCGGTCTGTATCGGTGTACCAACATATGGTACGCTAGGGCATACTGATGGGGACTTGGGTGATCCTCGTCTCAGTCACGAGTCGAACCAGTCCATATTGCATGTACCATATTGACTCAAGCAATATAGCAAACGTTAGTTGTCATAATCTTTGATAATCTAATAATAACTAAATCCCTGATACTTTTTAATACTTCATTGCTGATTAAATACTTGAGGATGATGCTATTCAGGTTAAATTACTGTTGATAAGCATTATAAAAGAACCCTGCTTTCTTGAACACATTCTTATGTATGAAACAGGACATAATGGTACAATAAACGGTCAAGGTCAAGCATGGTGGACAAAATACAAGAAAAAGGTTCTCAACTATACCAGAGGACCTCTTGTTCAGCTAATGTGGTCCAAGGATATAGTCATCTCCAACATAACTCTGCGTGACTCTCCTTTTTGGACTCTGCATCCCTATGACTGCAAGAATGTAACCATCTCAAATGTCACCATATTGGCTCCTGTTTCTGGAGCTCCAAACACAGATGGAATCGACCCAGGTAGGCATGCTTTGGTTGAAATTACTGATATGTTGTAGTCTTTAGAATTTTTAATGTAAAACTGTCACACCTGAATTATTTTTGCATTAACAATAAAGTCAGTTTCTTTTATTGATGTACCACTCTTGACCCCTCTTTACTCCTAGTGTTTAAAGAAAAACAACGACAAGCATAAAAGGTTTCTTATTTATTCTAAAATAATCAATATAATTATTTGACTCAATGCTTCATACACAAACCCATTTTGCAATTTATATGAATTCGCTGATATATTTTTCCCTTAAAACATTACCCGTCGAATGCTGACAACTGCTCATGGTCTCTGCAGATTCTTGTGAGGATGTGTTGATAGAGAACTCCTACATATGTGTAGGTGATGATGCAGTGGCCATAAAGAGTGGCTGGGATCAGTATGGAATAGCATATGGGCGTCCATCTACCAACATCACACTCCGCAATCTCACTGTCCGGTCTGTTGTGAGGTGAGATATTCTTGGCTACTAGCATGTTGGGTTGGTACCACTGTATCCCTGTGAACTCACAAAATTGCATGTTTATCCCTCAAAAGTGGCAAACACAACATATATGCCTGCAAAATAAATATTTTTTGTATACATGCTTGCCGTCTATTGTTGTTAATTGTCATTATTAGGCTACACAGTAGTCAAAGTAAACTGGTTTCTAAACATAAAATATTGACTAATCTCTACAAACTTTAACAAAGGTGATGTTCAGGTAAACACTTTATTTCTAGTCACCATGTTTCATAGTTTATTTCTTAACATTTCAAGATTTTACTCTAGATTTTACCAATCCAGCCAGACCTAGACCTATTTTGGACTTCTCTAGATTAATCCTCAGTTTACACTCATTAATAGTAGCTTGGGAAATGGTTACGCTGTCATCAGCAAATAGTGATGCTAGGAGGTCCTGCAGATTTGAATTCAACAGAGCAATCCCTGAACCTGTTTGTGTCTGATCAAAACAACAATCAAGACAAATAATCCCTGGACACAACAAGAACAAGTGGATAAGGAGTTCCCATAGTGTTTGGGCATAAGATCGGGTGAATTATTAATTAGAATATAGTAACAAATAATCCCTGGACACAAAACGAGAACAAGGGGATAAGGAGTTACCATAGTATTTGGACATAAGTCCAGGTAAATTATTTATCAGGATATAGTAGCGTATAGACACCCGATTAGGTTGCATTAGTGCTTAGGCTGTATATATGTTGGATTATATTCTTTTTATGTGCTCTTATAGCCCTAACTTTTTGGTTTTTCTTTTAATATTCAACTTTATGGGTTATGAGAGGCAATGCTTTCAGCTACTTAATTGTTACTGGTTCTATCTTTTTAATCACTCTCATGTTTTCATTGGAACTACATTTGTTGATTGCAGTGCTGGAATATCCATAGGCAGTGAGATGTCTGGTGGAGTTTCTAATATCATAGTTGAAGACCTTATCGTTTGGGAGTCAAGGCGAGGCATAAGAATAAAGACAGCTGCAGGGAGAGGCGGTTATGTTCGCGACATCTTCTACCACAACGTGACCCTCGACAATGTTCGTGTTGGAATTGTGATAAAGACAGATTACAATGAGCACCCTGATAACGGCTTTGACCCTAAAGCTGTGCCTATCATTGAGAACATAACTTTCAGTGGGATCCACGGTCAAGGTGTTCGCGTGCCAGTTCGAATCCATGGTAGTGAGGAAATCTTTATTAAGGGTGTGAGCTTCAAGGATATGTCTGTGGGCTTAAGCCACAAGAAGAAACATGTCTTCCAATGCTCATTTGTGGAGGGTCGTGTGATAGGATCCATTTTTCCCGCACCATGTGAGAATCTTGACTTATACAACGAGCAAGGCAAGTTAGTAAAGCGATCAATGTCTCAGAACGTCACCGATATTGATTATAACATTTAGAAGTTTTATTGTTGCAAAAATTACATTGCGGCAAACACTCTTAAGCATATATATTGAGTTGTCCACTCCCTCTTTTTGGTTTGTACATATAGAAGATCTTAATGTTCATTTTGTTAGATATTTTATCTACTTTAAATTAAGATATTAGATTCTCCTTGCGAAATATTTTTTTTATCTTTTTTTAAATATGATTCTTAAAAAAAAGATTTTTTGTGTTTTACTTGTCCACACGTGCGTGGGCGTTCCGGAGAAATCGAAGACAACCACAGAGTGTGCCGAACCTTAAGATGAATGGATTCGTCGGAGAAGACTTCAGATGTGGTGGGGATGATGGTTTCCACTTGGAGACTTCTCCATTACTCTCTCTCGATCGTATCTTCCCACCACAGTGTAAGCACTCATCCCTCTTCTCTAAAATCTTCGTATCATAATCACCCATCATTGTCTCTTTAGGTTCTACCTTTTGTATTGATTCTACATAACCTTGTTTTATTATTCCCATTACCAAAAATCTCAGAGTCATCCTTGCCTTCTACTCCCCATTAATAGAATCCGATGGAGATAAATACATGTTACGTCAAAAGGAAAATATTTTGAAGCAATAATTAATTAATTAATTAATGGTATTTTCTCGTGAATTACTGCACTCTCCGAATGCGTGCAAGAACAAAGGTCATCTTATCATTTAATCAGCCACCCACCGCTTCACCCAAAACCTTGCATGAACGATTGTGCTTGGCCTTATCGGCTTCTTCTCCAAAGATGCGAGAACGATGGCCATTGAATCTATCACCGTCTTGGAATGATCCATCAACTTGTACTGCTGTCGGATACGTGTCATCACCACATCCAAAGCCTTTACGAGAGAGAGAGAGAGAGGAGTGGGCACACCGCGTTTAACACGTGAATCCCTGTGGCCGCCGACTCCCCTTGGAAACCACTAGGAAGGCACCACCACCACCAGCAAGCGGAAGAAGAAGCCGGACAGGTAGTACTTTGCCTTGCTCTTTTCTTCCTTGATCCAATCTCCATTTATAGCACCTGCACAAGATGTATCTCCCATGCACTGTTCTTTATAGTCCCCAAGAGCTATCGAATGGAACGGTAGGCCCACTTACCCACCTTATTTATTTCTTTATTTTTATTTTTTTAACTTGGAATAATTGAAAGAGATTATTCTGGTGCTTAAATCAATTTAAGCTCTTATGCAAAAGTTAAGAATAAAGTTTTAGATCCTCGATTATACTTGAAAGGTTTTTATTTATAGAGTGGTGATGCATAATCGATTTATAATTTTAAAATTAAATATTTTTGATGATTTCTCTTTAAATTATCTTTTTTTAATAAATGATAAGTGATGAAGATAAGATTCGAACTAAGACCTTACGATAAATTATTTTTATCTTTACTGATCAAGCTAGCTGATACATGTGGTACTCTTCTTTTTTAATTAATTTAATTTTAAATTATAAACATGACATAATAGAGAAATATTTTTTAAAAATTGATTGGATCGAGTCTAACTAAATTTCATATATGAAATAATTGAACCCAATTATTTTCTCTCTCTCTATCTCTCTCTCTCTCTCTCTAGGCCCAAAATTTGGCGTCTGCCTCCAAGCATATGCCGTCACTTTGTGGCACGCTATTGAAGGTCGATGGCATCACCTCCACCACCACCTCCCGTCCATTCCATGGAGTATATTGTTGATGGAGTTTCTCCCATAAAAGACACAACGTGTGTGTTTTTACTGCTCTCTCTCTCTCTCTCTCTCTCTCTGTCTGTCTCTCTATCGTCCATTCTTCGTCGTCCGTCTATTCTATCCTTTCCTTCCCAAAATAATAATTATTATTATTATATAATAAAGAAAAATAGCACGTGCTATCTTAACTCATCCTTACCCTCTCTTCTTCTTCTTCTTCTTCCTTTTTTTTTTGGTCTCTCCCTCGCGCACCAAACCAACAGCCATAACACAAGCCACTATAAACCAACAGCAAAAGGAGAAGGGTGAGGAGAGGAAGCACAGGTGCTCATAGGGCCAAAGAGGTGAGAGAAAGCAACCACAAAGGCAATCTTAACAGACACCACATCAAACACAAGCAAAATTGGAGGAGGAGAAGAGAGAGAGAGAGAGAGAGAGAGAGAGAGAGAGAGAGAGAGAGAGAGAGAGAGAGAGAGAGAGAGAGAGATGGCAGAGAAGATGGGGAAGAGATGGGAGAAGGGCTCGCAGTTCTCAGTCACATGCAACCTCTTGAGCCAGTACCTGAAGGAGAAGGGCGGCTTCGGTAGCATTGGCCTTGACATCGCCTCGAGGCCTCTTGACCTCCACCGACCCAAAGGTGACATCTTCTTGGGTCGCCTTCTTCTTCCCTCTCCTTCTCCCTCTTCTCCTTGTCTAACAGCTATGTCGGCGTCTTCTGCAGACAAGCACCGGAATCCCACCACCTTGAGCTTGATGCCTGGTGTTGATGTGCCCCCTGAAGACGATGATGTCACTGACCACGAAACTGCTCCCAAATCCATGGAGGACTCTCTCAAGACTCCCCCAGTGATCAAGTAAGACCTCTTCCAAGATGATGTTCTTGGAATTTGTATTGACTGGGAGCGATAAGACTAAAGGTTGATTCCAGGGAGGTGGAGAAGTCGCAGCTGACGATCTTCTACGGCGGAAAGGTGCTGGTTTTCGACGATTTCCCGGGCGACAAGGTCAGAGATTTGATGCAGATGGCGGGCAACGAGATCGCTGCAACTAAAAACCTCAGCTTCCCGGCGCCTCCCCCGACTTCCATCTTGGCCTCCGCATCCAGCTGGCAGGAGCCGCCGCCTGGCCTGCCGACCCCCGCCCAGGCTAATGCTTCCGGTAATCATGTTTAGATGCTTCACTACATCCATTCCTTCGATTGCGACACAAATCTGTACAGCCCTGCAACTGATGATGATTAATGCTATGTTGGGAACAGATATGCCCATAGCCAGAAAAAACTCCCTTCATCGGTTCCTGGAGAAGAGGAAGGATCGGTGAGCGTCTGTTCTTGCATCAATCTTGTGTTTTACGAGCTGCATCTAAGCGTCTCTCGGTCGAAATGCTTACAGGATCAGCACCAAGGCCCCATATCAAGCCCATGGAGCGCCGGCGGCGTCGCCGACCGATGCCGAGCTCCGCCTGGGACGAGAAGATCTGAGGCAAGAACACAGCTCCGGGAGTTTCAGATAGCTTGAGGAGAAAGCCTTTGGTGACTCTGCTTCTCTCTTTGCTGCCTCTTGCTCCCCTGACACAGGGTCTCAACCACAGGGATGATGCGGAACATGGATCTTGTCCTGGGATGAAGAATTGTGGTGTTGTTCTACATGATTAGAACAAGTTGTTGAGATCTTCTTTGATAGAATACAGCAGTCTCCGTTCCTGTTGATTTCTATTGCTTTCTTTTGCTCATACCATGTATGATCATGCTTAGGCAATCTCAGTGTTGTTCAAAACAGATGGTGTTGAATTCCACTTTCTACATTTTTTGGTTGATTCTTCTTCTTCCATCTTACATGATTAGGACAAATTCTTGAGATCTCATTTTGACAGGATACAGCAGCATCATAGCTGATTTCTCTATTGCTTTTTTTCACTCATGCTTTGTGTTATCGTTCTCAGGCAATCTCAGTGTTAAAAATTAATGGTGTTGAATTACACTTTCTACATTTCTTGTTTGATACTTGTAACAAATCACAGGCCTTCCATCTTACATGATTGAGGAAAGTTCTTGAGATCTCATTTGACAAGATACAGTGCTGATTTGTATTGATTTTGCTCATACTTTGTTTGTATCATCATGGTTATGCAATCTGAGTGTTCAAAAATAATGGTGCTGAGTACCACTTCCTACATTTCTTGGTTGATACTTCTTCCATCTTACATGACTAGAACAAGTTCCTGAGATCTCATTGGACAGGATATATCAGTTTCCATTGCTGCTGATTTGCATTGCTTTTGCTGATACTTCTTTGTGTCATCATTGTTAGGCACTCTCAGTGTTCAAAGATGGTGTGTTGAACCCCACTTTCTACATTTCTTGGTTGATACTTGTAACAGATGACATGTCTTCCATCTTGCATGATTAGGACAAAGTTCTTGAGATCTCATTTGACAGGAAACAACAGTATCCACTGCTGTTGATTTCACAGTGCTTTTACTCATGCTTTGTATCATCATTCTTAGGCAATCTCAGTGTCCAAACATGATGGTGCTAAATTCCACTTTCTACATTTCAAAAATTGAAGCATATCAAATTTTATATGGCCATGACTCTTTACCTTAGCATTTTGGAAATCTTCTATATCTGATTAATAAGAATTTGTAAATCAAACAATTTCTATCCACTTGTTACCTAATGCCATAATTGAAGAGTGGGAGTGGTGATGTATTCATGTTGGATCAGAAGCTTCCCTTGAAGACTTTTGCATGGACCACAAGGAATTGAAGCAAGTGACATGTTTCTGTTGAAGCTGGCTAAATCTTCAGCACATTGTTCAGATCAATTGTCCACAACATCAAATTCAGTGGTAGGAAGCTTCTGTTCTACTGAAATGCAGCAAATTATTCTCATGTGCAAGAGAAAAAAATGTTCTTCTTGCTTGAACAACATGTGTTCTTGATTGTGACTACATGGTGGGTAGTATGTTTTGAATCCAGTAGTTTTACCTACAACTTCAGAATCATGATGCAGAAAATGAAAACAAATATGGTTATGTTTCATGTTTTAATTGCTCTCTCTCTCTCTCTCTCTCTCTCTCTCTCTC